GATTCACAATTGTAAGAAAGTTAGCACCCACCCATCTCCTAGAAGAATGAAATATTCTAGGAAATATTAAAAAGGCAGAATATTATATTTTCCTGGATGAGAAAAGGAGAAACATGTTTTTAAAGACAAAGCAGCTTCCTGAAGCTCCCTGCCCCCCACTTCAGCTCCAGGATGATAGGATTAAAACCTGCACCCTCAGGACATGATAGGATTAGCTTCATTACCTCATCACCCAGCAAGATTTAACCAAGCCTGGGATTCAAGACAACCTACAAAGTTACCCCTGCATGGCCCCAATGGGAGTCTGACAACCAATCAGGATACTTGCCCTTACACAGGAACAGGAAGCTCCAAGCCGGGGCCCAAGAGAGGGTATAAATCTTTCTTTCTCTCTCACCCATGTGCTCATTTTACCCAGGACCTCAAATCATGTGGTCCTGTCCACCGTTAAACCATCTTTCCAAATAGCCTCCATGTTTCCAGTGTCTTACTCCCCACTTGGAACTGAACCCAAATGGACATTTCTTCCAACACAATGTATTAGCCCATGGTTTGCTTAACAATTAGCTAAGTTCAGACAACTTCCTAAGTTACATCTAGCAAACAATCTTATGGCTAAGCATAGAATTTGAATCCCACAGCTATGTAATGTACGCCCATTAGATTTTAATTTTATGTTTCTAAGCAAAATCCCCATCTCTCTCTCTTGCATAGCAATTCCTGTTGATATTAAAATCAGTTTCAGAAATTATTTTCAGTAAGCAAAGAGGCAGCTGCTCCAAGAATGCTAATATTTCAATTTCACTCTATAGTTATCAATAATGGTACAAGTAATTTTATGCCACTGAATTATCCTGAGTGTTTTTCAGAACTGAAGCACAGGAATGATCACATACTGCATATTATGTAAACAGCATTTGCAAAAAAAAAAAAAAAAAAAACCATCAAAAAGCTTCTTGTTTATCATCATCATCAAGCTTTTGAAAGAATAGTTTCAGTTCTTTGTTGCTTATGTGTAATCAATTTGTCTTTACTTGCCAGAGGAATGTTGGCTACATACTAAAAAAAATTTGAGCCAAAAATCCTACTAGGTTAGAGTAAAATATTGGGATCCTCAAACTAGGAAAAAAACCACTATATGCTTCTGAAATAAGTATCAAACATAATACATGAATATTGGTTTATAAAATTCATATTTTAAAGACACTCTTGAAAACACTAAATGAAATCAGTGTAAAATGTAGAATACTGATTAAAAATTGTCATTGATAAAACCTATGCGCAGAAAGGTATATTAAAGTTTTCTTTCTCAGAATGTTACATAAACAGGACTTAATCAGTTGTACAAGTCCCATATTTTCAAATGGGAATTAAAAGATTTCTGCATGCAAATCATGAATCCTATTTAGGATTAGGTGACCTGAGAAGGCTTTTTTCAGCTTGGTGTCCCCCAACTGTTTCAATTCCCCTAATTCTATGTCAACAGTCCAAAACAGCTGGATAGCATCCCAAAAAGGTATCTTTAACAAGAAAGGGGACTATTTATTTTATTTATTTATTTATTTATTTATTTCAAATTTATATACCGCACCTTCTCCCGAGGGACAGCCAGATAAAAACATACAATACAAACATTAAAAAACAATTAAAAGGATATATATTAATTTGGCCCCAATTTAAGATAACAAACCAATTAAAAAATTAAAAATATGTTAAAAAATATGTTAAGCCAGCCCGGCTTGCTGAAAAAAGAAAGTTTTAAGGGCACGGCGGAAGGCACCGAGGTCTTGGATTCTCCTTATCTCTGGGGGCAACTGATTCCAGAGGGTAGGTGCCACCACAGAGAAGGCCCTCCCCCTGGGGGTCACCAGCCTACATTGTTTGGCTGATGGCACCCCGAGGGAGCGCACAGGTCAGTGGGAGGTCATCGGTAGCAGCAGGCGGTCTCGAAGATAACTAGGTCCTCTGCCATGGAGCGCTTTAAAGGTGGTAACCAACACCTTGAAGCGCACTCAGAAGACCACTGGGAGCCAGTGCAGCTCACGCACTAGCGGTGTTATGTGGGAGCGCCAGGTGGCTCCCATGATTACCCGCGCGGCCGCATTCTGGACTATGTCTGTATGCTCAGGCAAAATATGATTTAAGAAATTGTATGCAAAATTTGAGAAAATTTGGATTGTATGTAAACCATGGTTGATGCTTTAGTGTTTTGGTCAAACCTGCCAGTTCTGATTTAATTAATATATTATGGATAAATAAACCATGCCATTCTGTATGCCCACTCATCCTTTTTTTTAATCAATCCCTTAGGAGCACATAGGTGCAGCACCTAATGGATCTTCGTTAATCTCAATAAAGAGATTAAATAAAGTTGGACCTGGTTAGTCCTTGGATATCACAAGAAGACGACCAGGGCTGGATGTTTCAGCTTCTATTATTTGTTCTTGGCATAACCTAATTTATTTGGTTTGCTTGTTTTCCTACTTACAAATTAACAGTGTTAGAAGGGACCTGGTAGGTCATCTAGTCCAACCCCCCACCCAAGCAGGAGACCCTACACCATTTCTGACAAATGGCAGTCCAATCTCTTCTTGAAAGTCTCAAGTGATGAAGCTCCCACAACCTCCAAAGGCAAGCTGTTCCATTGGTTGATTGTTCTGTCAGAGAATTTCTCCTTATTTCCAGGTTAAATCTCTCCTGTTTCCATCCATTATTCCTTGTCTGGCCTACAAGTGCTTTGGAAAATAGCTTGACCCCTTCCTCTCTGTGGATGCCCCTCAAATATTTGAACACTGCTATCATGTCTCCCCTGGTCCTTCTCTTCACTAGACTAGCCATGCCCAGTTCCTGTAACTGTTCTTCATACGTTATAGTCTCCAGTCCCCTAATCGTCCTGGTTGCTCTCCTCTGCTCTGCACTTTTTCTAGAGTCTCAACATCTTTTTTATAGTGTGGTGACCAAAACTGGATGCAGTATTTTAGGTGTGATCTTACTAAGGCTTTATAGAGTGGTATTAGTACCTCACTTGATCTTGATTGTATCCCTCCGTTAATACAATTTAGGATTATGTTGGCTTTTTTGGCTGCCACTGTTCACTGCTGGCTCATATTTAACTGGTTGTCCACTAAGACTCCAAGATCCCTCTCAAAGAAGTCAATCAAAAAACTAATTGGGAACCATACAGTTTGGAAAAATCTGCATTGCCATGAAGTCATCAGGATTTGAGCTTCATTTGAGAGCTGCTATTTTACAGTTCCTTATATTCAAAACTAACTGATTCCACATTGTCTCAAAATAGGTCCAATCCAAAGGAAAAGCTTTTTTTAAAAAAAAAATGTGTTTCTTTTAATTAAACCACCCCATTGCTGCACCTCATTTGGATAGTTTACAATAAACACACCAAAATAAAAAAAAATCCAATTTGACTTTAAACATAACCAATAAAATGGAAAATAAAGACATCATACCAACGAGGCGGCAGCCAGGGAGTGGTCAAAATCTAAGGTAACAGGAATTAATTAGAGCACCATGAAGAAGCTTGGGAAAACAGCCCCTGGCAGCTGAGTAGGGACTTCTATCCCATTGGATACCTCCAGAGAAAAGGATCTCTCAGTCGTAGAGACTCACCTTTATCTCAGGTGAGACTCACCTTTATCCCAGGTCTCAAAGTCACCAAACCTGGGGGAGAGCCTAAGGGGCAAACCTCACCCCGCCACCAGGTGTCCCAGCATCACCCCTCCTCAGTTGCAAACTGCTATCAAATCTGGGCTGCAATTAAAGTATTGAAGTAGCCAAGGGGCAATGTATAGATTTTCTTTTTATATTGTTGTTTTGATTCACTCTTCTTTTTTCATATCTTTCTTTTAAAGCATAGCAATTAAAGTATTGAAGCGGGCAAGAGATGATAGATGCATGATGTTTTCCTTTCTGTTGTTGTTCTAAGTTGCTTTTCCTTTTCCTTTTCTCTTTCTCTCTTCTCCTTTTTCTTTTTTTTTTAAGTAGGTGACATGATTAGAAGTTAGATAAGAAAAAGTATCTTAACAAAGGGTGACGTGATTAAAAGCTGGAATAAGTGATAGAAATAAGGAAAGGGGGGAATATTAGGGTATACATTTTTATATCATAAAATGAAAGTAATAACAAGAGAAAATGTGGAACAATTGAACAATGGTAGACTATAACTTAATATAGGTATGTACTATTATTATTATTATTAGAAATATATAAGAATTAGAATTAGAATTTTTTATTGGCCAAGTGTGATTGGACACACAAGGAATTTGTCTTTGGTGCATATGCGCTCAGTGTACATAAAAAGAAAAGATACATTTGTCAAGAATCATAAGGTGCAACACTTAATGATAGTCATAGGGTACAAATAAGCAATCAGGAAACAATATCAATATAAATCGTAAGGATACAAGCAACAAAATTACAGTCATACAGTCATAAATGGAAGGAGATGGGTGGTGGGAACAATGAGATTAATAGTAGTGCAGATTTAGTAAATAGTTTGACAGTATTGAGGGAATTATTTGTTTAGCAGAGTGATTTAAGCGGATTGAATGTAAAGATTATGATTAACTTGATTAGTTTTATTTGTATTAGAATGTATGACACCCAGGTGCCACATAGTTCATGCACTGATTTGACATTTTTATTTTTTTAAAAATGAAAAACCTGGGGGGAAAAAATCTGGGCTGCAAACACCCAGACGGCCCCTAGATGGCTGCAGAGAGGCAGAATCCAGAATTCTACCTGGATTCCCTCAGGGGCTACCTGGCAGCCTTCGTGCGTGAGGCCTCCAGGGTGGCTCCGCCCAAGTGGCCCCTCCCCCCCAAGGTTGGGAGCGCGCGCGAGACAGTGAGAGGACAGGCATGTACCTGCGCGTGCCCTCCACTCTCTCTCTCTCTCGCGCGCGCGCGCGCACCCCAAAGAGTCTCGTCCGGCCTTCCGGGGCTGGTGTGAATCTGGTCGCTAAGCAACCTGGTGAGCGCTCGAGCCTGGCAGCAGCAGCAGCAGCAAAAGGGAAAGAAGGCGTCTAATCTGCAGCGAAGGGAACCGAGTGTTTCTGGTTCCTGAAGGGAGAGAAGGACGCCTTCGGAATAATATTAGCTCCCGAAGCGCCTGAGGTGGCGGCAAGTGCTTTGGGGGCAGTGGGGAGGGAGGGGACGCGAAGAAAGCGAAAGAAGCGCAAGGGATACCTATTATATAGGGGTGGGGTTTTTTTTTTTTTTCAAACTTTGGTCATTTTGGGATGCGTGGACTTCAACTCCCAGAATTCCTCAGCAGGGCAATTTTGGGAGTTGGAAGTCCATACATCTTAAAGTGGGCATGATGCCTTCAGGGGTGGCATTGGGGAGTTTTCATATCCCACCACCCCTCCTTTTGGGTGGGATTGGGGAGTTTTCATATCCAAGGTAGTAAATATTGGGGGCAACTGGATGCCTTCATGTTCTTCAAATTCTCCACCAACAATGGTTGGTATTGGAATTGCAATCCCCAATGTTTGAATTCCCAGGTCCTTGGGAAGGACTCAGTAGACCTGCAAAAAAGGTCAAATCCAGTCTAAACATCTGGCTGACTGTGACAAATCACAGTATCTCTAATAAAGAAAAGCCTGTTTCCTTATACAGATAGTCCTTGACTTACGACCACAATTGAGCCCAAAATTTATGTTGCTAAGTGAGACATTTGTTAACTGAGTTTTGCCCCATTTTATGACCTTTCTTAACACAATTGTTAAGTGAATCAAAGTGGTTGTTAAGTTAATTACATGTTTGTTAAGTGAACCTGACTTTCGTCAGAAAGTCAAAAAAGGTGATTACATAACCCCAGGACACTGCAACCGTCATAAATGTAAGTCAGTTGCCAACTATCTGAATTTTGATCACATAACCATGGGGATGCTACAGGGGTGGGTTCTATTTACCTTTACTACTGGTTCGCAGCGGGGCTCTCCTGCGCAAGCACAGAAGATGCTGCGCATGTGCAGAAGCGTTTTGATGACATCGGGGTCAGTGTGCAGAGCCTCCTGCCGGTTTTACTACCGGTTTTATAGAACCGGTGCGAACCAGGGGCAACCCACCACTGGGATGCTGCAATGGTCATAAGTGTGAAAAATGATCATAAGTCACTTTTTTCAGTGATGTAGTAACTTTGAATGGTCACTAAATGAACTGTTGTAAGTCGAGGACTATCTGTACTTTTTTTGTCCAAATCAATAGCAAGTATAAACTCAGAATTGGACCTCTCTCACAAGAACTTCTACACTACAGTAATAGGCCACTAAGAACATATGTCAAAGTATAAGATATAGGTCAGGGGTGAAATTCACTTACCTTCCCTACCGGTTTGCAAATGTGCATGCGCCATCATCCGTGCATGCTCAGAGACTTAAATTGTCACAAAAAAGCAACGCCATGATGTCTGCACAGGTGGGCAGAGCCTCCCACAGCTGCCGCTACTGGTTCACCCAAGCCGGATAGAACCGGCTGAATTTCATACCTGATATAGGTAGTCCTCAACTTGCAACCATTTATTTGGAGACTGTTATCAGATTGAATGTAAAACTGTTTGCAGATAGTCTTCAGTTTACAATCATTTGTTCAGAGACCATTCCAATTTACAACAGCACTGAAAAAAGTGACTTACGACCGATTTTCACACTTAGGACTATTGCAGCATATCCATGGTCATATGAGCAAAATTCGACCCCTTGGCAATTGGTGTGTATTTATCACAGTTGTACTGTTCCGGGGTCATAGTGATCATCATTTGTGACCTCAGCCAGCTTCCAACAAGCAAAGACAATGGAGGAAACCAGACTCAATTGCCACATGATTCTCTTAACAACTGTGGCAAAAAAAGGTCTTAAAATGGGGCAAAGCTTCTTAACAACTGCCTTGCTTAGCAATAGAAATTGGTGGATCAATTGTGGCTGTAAGTCAAGGACCATTTGCAAACCACCAACCAAATATTTTAATTGCCATGCAGTTTACAATATTCAGTGTTTTTATTTGGTGTTTTTTTTTTTGTTTGCTTGTTTTTAGGGTTGTACTAATTTGGTAGTGCACACAGGACCTCTTTGTATATTGGAGATAAAGAAATTACCACTGCCTCCTGTTCCATGATGCAAAAGAAATATTTCAAGGTGCACGGATCTTCTCATTGTAAAACACATGCTAAGAAAGAGCTTTGAAAATAAAAGCTTTATAAATAGGCCGATTTAATGCATATAAAATATTATCTACTGCTATAATTGTTTTAATGTGCAGTTGCTTTGGAAGGGAGAAGTAGCCTTAGGTTTTATTTTTAATTACGCTGAAACAAAATATGTTTAGGCATGTCAAACTTTTATAGTTCATAATGAGTTTATTGCACACAATAATTATGGGTTCAGTAATTAAAAGTTTAAAATTGCTGCTATTTTATTTAATATAAATGATAAATCAAAGATTTCTTTTTGCCTTTATATAAGTTGAAGTGGGATGTGTCAAATATCAATCTTATGTTTCATATTGTGGTAATTGTATATTAGTAAGACTTCAAACATGGGAGTTGTATGGGCATAAAGGTTCTGTCAGGCTAAAAAAATCATTGGCTAAAGGCTGAATTTCTTTTGTTGTTTCATGTGCTGTACATATCATTCATATATAACAGTAATTTATAAAAAATAATTATGAAACTTTATTTTAGGGGAGTTCCTACAAACCAGAGTCTGTAGCACTTACTGCTGTGGCATTACAAGATCATATTTTACATGATCTTCAACTGCAAAATCTTTCATTAGCAGATCCTTTAAAATCAAAGACATGGAGTAAGATAAATAAATACAGACCTGTGAACAAAGAGAAAATCAGAGCAGTTATAGATACTGGATTAAAAAAAACCAACAAACAGCCAAACAACCAGAATAACCCACAAAACGAAGATCCAGAAAAAGAATATGTTCTTGATCCAAGTCCTCAACCTCTAACTTTAGGTAAAACCTTAATTTTCCAGTCTGTTCTTGTTTGATTTTAATAAATGTTTAATGCCTCTTGGGTATGGAAGGATTTGGTGGCATATACATTTAATAAATAAGTAAATAATTATTTATATTATAATAAATAGATACTTTTTTCCATATGGCACAATAGCATCACAATTTGTTTGAAGAGCTGCTTGTTCTTACAAGCAGTTTTCTCTGCTTTCCTTTTCAGCTTCCATTTGCAGCAGATAAATATTTCTTGGAAAGTTACAAGCAGTGGGAAAAAACAGCAATTACTGTATTTCTTCTTTACCTAAACATTTTGGATTCAGAGTATTTCTATCCGTGAGCATTATATAAAAGCAATTCAGTATAACTTATTTTGGATGAGGACACATGTGTGAACTGGTAAAGAATCACTAACTGATTTTAAATGATTAGAAAAAATAACATTAACATCATTAACGTTACAGACACTGCTGCTGACTGTGTCATTGATATCACATTTTCACTGTGATCAATAGCAAAATATTTTACTGTAGTGCCAGCACAAATATTTTTACCATTAGGAAGGAAAGTCTTCATACAGAAAGAAGCGAGCCTACCACACAGTGAAACTACATTAGCACCATCTAGAGTTGCCTTCTACTATAATTGGGATACGTACTTGAGCAACTGGTGCTTTTACAAAAAAAGGAAAATTAATTTACTAGGCTGGGCATAGTTTTTTTATTAAAAAAAAAACCCTTCACCTTTAACTACCCTTTGCTCAAAAATTTACAAGTTGTTGTTTTTGTAATGATTTGGGGGCAAATCCATGAATAATGCCTGTAGCTAAACACCCAGCTTCAAATCAAGAAACAAGAGACTTACTGTATTATATTATTATAATAAAGGAGATGGATGCATAAGCTTCCTGCCTGGGGAAACAAGAGGTGCAGCGGCAACATATTATACTGTCATGAGATAATAACATTACATGGTCTGACTAATAACTAGGAAGAACTACCGAGCTGCTACTTTTACACTTTTTAAATTTTTGTTTACAAGAGTTTTCATCCTTTAAAATCACTAGTAAAGATCTCTTGGAAGCTAGTTTGATGGATAGAAACTAGAAGAGGATATATTACCATCCTTCCTTAGACAAAAAGCCATCTGTTTAAGATTACCCCACCCCCTTTGGGCCAATACCCCCTCTCTCAGCCTTGGAAGAAAGCAAGGGCAAAACATTTATGCAAAAAAAAAAAAATTTAAAAAAAACAACTACAGGAATTTGTTAATCTAGGAGTCAAGATTGGTTTGAAGGCAAAGAAACACAAAAAGAAATGAATTGAGTTATCCAACACTTTATGGCATGGTCAAGGCTACCATCTCATCCCAACGTGATTGGCCTGCCACTCACTCAGAAGAGGCACGCTGGGTCCACCAAACAATTTCGGCAGGCAGGGTCCAGGAGATGAGCCTTTTCTGCCATGGCTCCTGCCCTTTGGAACAACATGCCCCTTGAGATGACATCTGCCCCCACCCTCTTGGCCTTCCAGAGGGGCCTGAAAACCTGTCTCTGCCACCTGGCTTGCGCCCTCATGAGGGCATCCCACACTGGACTTGGTTAGAATATTAGAATCCCATCTCTACCCCATTTGTGTAATGGTCCATTTTTATCCTGGGTTTTTTTTGTTGTTGTTGTTAATTTTAAAGTTTTAATTTTAATGCTTAACATTTCTAATGGTTTAATTGTTTTATATTGTTGTTTTATAACATTTTAAGACTCTCAGGGTTGCTTGATAGTGAGCTGGGTGGCATATAAATTTAATAAATAAATTATCTCCTTCTGCCTCCTGTTTTGCCTCCCATCCATTCTTCTTTTAAAAAGCAGTGTGTTTTTGTTTCAAGATTTGAAAGCCCAGCTCTGCAGTCATATAAATAGTTAGGCAGATGTAGAAAGTATATGTGTGCTAATGCACATGGATATATTAATTTGATAATTTAACTGTTCGCCTATGTCTTACAAACTAGAATATTTGATATGCACTGAAGAGAACAAGATGGAGCTGCTGGGAATTGTAGTTCAACCACATTCAAATATTCACAGATTTCCCAGCTTTGCCTTGTTGGAATACATCATTGCAGAACAATTAAGAACTATTAAAATCTGCTCAATCTTAAGAAAGATTTATGAACATGCTTTAAAAAGTGCTTTGTTTAACTATTTTTATAATAAAACTACTTGTTCATTGAGTGATTATTTTAAATCTAAATCACATCTATTCAGATAGATAAACTCTTGGTTTCTGGGAAAATTAAAATGACCAAATTAGTATTTGTCTTAAAAAATACTATATTATGAAGTAGTTTCCATGCTGAAGTAGGCAAATAAAAAAAATTAAGTAACAAAATAGGGTTTGAAATCTAGGAAATAAGATATTAGGGTGGCCTGTTTAATTTGTTTGTTTTGGGTTTTGCTCATTATCGCTCAGCCCTGCAAACATTCTTTCGGATAGAAACCCCAGTGTTTAATCCAGAAGTCTTGGTTGCCTGAGAAAAATGTGACATACCTGTCAAATTCCTCTGTCATATGGCACATCTGCTTACTTGAACAAGGGGGAGCCTAAGTAAATTTAGTTCCAATTCTGTACAGCGTATTGTGCATTCGTACCTGGGAGTATCCATTTTACACTACGAAATGTCTTTCTAAGCAAATATGCAGAGGATTTCACTGTTGATGAAATAGAAGGTTATGTTAATATGCTATGCATGTATGAAATACGAATGTTACTGTGCATTTGTATATGTTCTAGATATGGCTAGTTCTTTTACTGTCAGCAATGATTCTTGACAATTATTTACAAGAAAAAACAAACAAACAAACAAACAAACAAATAAATAATTGCCCTTAAGAATACTCACATCAGGTTTCATTCTTTCCATAATAAACCATCCCCAAAGGCTGTAATTAATGAAATTATTGTTATTAAGTTACTTTCATTGAACTTAATGACATTTAGATTTATAATTAATATGAGCTAGAAAGTATTAATTCAAGTTTATCCCCAAAGAACATTAGTAGCCATAAAAATGCTTATGTTTCCGTAGAAATATTAAATATGCATTGCAACACAGAAGATTCTATACTGAAATAAATTAAAAGTCAATTTCATTTGCTGGACTTTACCTGCAGCTCAGAAATTTGGATTGGTGGAGCTTCCTGCCATGCCACTAACTCTAGACGATTGGGAATATGTGAAGCAACGATCCATAAAGCAAGGAGATTCTGTTCAACCCTGTGCTATATGCAAAGAAGAATTTGCCCTTCAGCCACAGGTATTTTATCTGCCTCTTTTAATATTATCGAATAGCGATAGACCTCAATTTACGACTGGCTGCTTAACAACCAGTTCCAAGATGGGCAAGAACCCTCCTCCACTCCAATCATTTCACCACATCTTGATAGCTTCTCCAGTCATGTGCCCGCCATTTACAACATTTTTAATAGAATTAGCATTCACTTCTGGTTCTGGTGAAACTTATAGCGAGCAATCGGTTTCGTCATGTTTGCTTAACAACCATAGTGTTCATTTAGTAATCTCACCACTCAATTGCTGCAATAAAGGTAATTTCAAGTATATTCATGTGTTGACCCACTTAACCATCATGACTTACAACCATAATTGTACACTCAATTACGAATGTAAGTTGGGGACCTCCTGTATATCTGGTAGAACTGGAAATGCTGCAATTTTCAACTTTGAAGAGATGTTTTCAGGTGTATAAGGGCACCTATGTAGCACCTCTCTGTCAGACATTAAAGCAACTACTGCTGTTTCCAGTCAGTTTCCAGTTTCCTCACCAAAGCCACAAAATTCCAGATTGAATCCAAAGCATCTCATAGTCCTGGAATCTGGTGAAACACACAAAAAAATTATGGTTGGGAAAAATGAAATAAATTAACTTGTGTTTTAAGGTAGTTTGTTATGCGAGTTGCTGATGTTCAGAGAACCTTAGACTTTCCTTTACCATGAATATGACATAATTTCTCTTCTTTAAAAAGCAAATAATCAGCAGCCTTCTTTCCACTTTTTAAAGATTATTTTGTGTAGCTGTTGGAGACAAGGACTTCAAGGTTCATCTGTTCTAGGAAGAAGGTGGTCTCAGATATTCCTAGTCTTTAGTAGTGGGTGGCTACTGGTTCACTCCAGATCGGGCGAACCAGTAGCAGTGGCAGAAGGAGGCTCCGCCCACCTACCCGGATGTCTCTGCACATGCTCAGAAGTATCACCCGCGCCCATGAGCAAACTGGTAGCGAACAAAATTGAAACCCACTGCTGCTAGTATTCAGGAACTCTTGATTCACCTTATGCCCTTGGCTTTTAGGCTGCCAGTTTGTGTCTTTTCCCAAAGCATTTTAACAATCAATGGGAGGAAATCATGCAGTGCTTACATACAAAATGTAATAAGAATATAGATAATGTAATTAATACTAATATGTTCTTTCTGCAATGAAAGCTACTTTTTATTGTGCATTTGGTAATAATAGTAAGAATGGAGGGGATTCTTGGATAAATTGAAATCTCAAAAGGGTTTTATTTTTTTCTGACAGGTATTGCTCTCTTGTTCTCATGTATTTCACAGAGTAAGTAAACCATACCTCTTTACAAATTAATGACAAATATGTATCCTGTCAGTCTTCTAAATTGCACATTATGGAACTAATTATAATTTGAATTTTTATGTGTAAGAATAAATCTGTTGTTGCTTTTAATTGTGTAATTAAAAATGTAATTTTAGGATATTTTTTTGAGACTATATTTTATCTCAAACAGTATGATTGCATAGGAAACAAGCCTGCAAAACTCAGAGAAAAATGGTTCATTAGATAAATTAAAAATAATCACAGATCACAAAGAATACCTGATATGTCAATCAACTCTTTGGCTGGTAATGTCGATGAGGCCTAGAAGCATGTTGGGAATGTTTGGCAGTCTGTCTCTTGGGTGGGAGTGCATCCTTTCACATGCAGGCCTGCATTTCAAAGAACAAAAGTAGAAATAATCACTTTATATAAATATGCACCCAAAAAGTTCAGTTACAGTGATGGACATTAAGCTTTTGTATCCAGATGTCCCAAAGGTGCTTTTTCAAGAGGCAACTGGACTTTGAAAACATTTCGCTTCTCATCCAAGAAGCTTCTTCAGCTCTGACGTCTTCAAAGAAAAACCAGAAAGTCCAATTGCTTCTTGAAAACGCAGCTTTGTGACAACCATGACCTGGATGACTGAGAATCTCCACAGAGATTTTGTATCCAGATTTAGCACTGATATTTGTAATTTTATAATTAATCAGAATAAACAGCTTGCAAAGTTAAGAGTGGCTCTATTCACAATGCATTTAATGGTATCAAGGGGATATTAGCTGTTTCAGTCAATGCTAGGGTCAGAGAGTCAATCTGACTTAAGCATCTATTATACTAAAGTTGCTTGGATCTACTCTGGGTTGATGTGGCTGGGCAGGTCTTATAGAAGTGACTAAGCCACAATGTTGTTTGGTTATCTGGAAAGAGCTTCACTTGTTAATACAGAGAAGTAGAGAGATCCTTAGGTTAGTTGTCATCTGGATTCTGGATTCAAATGTTCCCTGATTGATCAAGTCCTCCTGTGAGGTAGCAGTGTTGGATAACCTTTGTCCAATCTCTACTTTCAGGGAAGGTTATTGAAAATATGGTAATAGTTTCAAAGGGCTCTGGGGAATACAGATTATATGGATCTTTTTCAATCAGGTTTTAGGCCAGGTTACAATACAAAGACAGCACAGGTTGTGCTTGTGTTTGTGGCCTCTGGACTCCTAGCCACAAAATTCCAGATCCAGGGGATATATCCATCTTTATCCTCCTGGATCGCTTAGCATCTTCTTTTGATGCCATCAGTCATGATATGCTTCTCGATCAGTTTAGTAGTAGTGGGAGCGCTCTTTCGCAATAGTTTTTCTTCCTCTAGGGCTTGTTTGTCTCATTGCTGATGTGGAGAAGGAGTTTTAGCTCCTGTGTGAAGCTTCTGTGTGAGATCTCTCAAGATTCTTCTCTCCCCCTCCCCTCTCTTCCTTTTTCCCCTTCTTATTTAACGTCTACATGAAAACACTGGATAAGGATATCCAGTGGCTCAGGATATCAGTATATTGTCATAGTTCTCCACCCCTGCCTGGACAAGTAATAGTGTCGAGATACTTATCAAGTGCCTGGAGGGACTGGAGGCTGTAACTCAGCTCTACCAAGATAGAGTAGCTTGGGATTTGGGCTTCCTTGGATCTGGAGATTTTTCATTGTTAACTCTCAACAATTTCCACAAGCTAAGTGGGTGCACAATTTGGGAGTTCTCCTGAACTCATAGTTCTTGCTTGAAGAGCTGGTGGCAGCTCTAGCTAGGAGGAACTTTTGCTTAAATCCATCTTATGTCCATTCAGTATACTGTGGTGTTCAGTTTGGATGCTGTTGGATGCAATTTGACATGTTGCTTATCCCTTTAAAGTCATTTATGACACATGACCAGATAAATTGCAGAACCACGGACCTCTGCTCAGCCACCAGATCCAACCGGTGTGTTTCAAGGATACTCGTATTAAAAGAATATAATCGGGGGTGATGGAGATGTGGGACATCTGCCCTATGGAACAGCCACCCCATATGAAATGTGGATGCCCCAATTCTTCTGATTTTCTGAAAGGTTGCTAGCTGAGCCCCATATACTACAAGCATGATTTACATAACTAAGCTTGTTATAAAGTACCTTGATTATTGTATGATGATTGTTTTAATTGTGAAGTTTTTGGTTTTCTGTTTAGATGCTTTATTATATTATTTTTATTAATTTCTGTTATCTGTCCAGAATTTATATGTAAGATAGGTGGCCGTATAAATTTTCTAAAATAAATAATCATATCCCCGAATAGCTTCATAATTGTTAGTGTTGAACTAACTTCTGTGCATCTATGCATGTAAAGTTAAACAAGAATGTTAACCTGCTGTCTTCCTTTTAGCATAGAAATGAACACACTTGTTTGTGAAGTTCATCCCTTCATACACACATACGCACGCACGCACACACACACACAGTCAGCCAGTGGAACAGGTTGCCACATGGAAATGTTTAATTTTTCTTTGCTAGTGTTCTTCAAATAGTGATTGGATGGTCATCCACAAGAGACACTTTGGGCACCGAGTATGGGATAGTATTATATGACCTCTAAGATGCCTTCCATGATGCTATTGTCTTTCCTGAACTTACAAACTCTGGACACATAACTTTGCATTGATATTCCATAAATCTTGGAGAGGAGCAAACTAAGTTCAAACAGTTAGAACCAATATTAATTTTTTCCAGGCATGCCTGAAAGCTTTCGAAAGATTTGCAGCTAAAAAGAGCTGTCCAATGTGTAGAAAGACCCAGTATCAAACACGAGTAATTCACGATGGAGCCCGCCTTTTTAAAACAAAATGTGCTACGAGGTAAGAATGACTGGCAAATAACAAAGTTCATTCCCCAAAAAGGATCTGTTGAAATTTTTACATGCACACAAAGTACTGTATAGTGATGAAACAATGTAAGTGACTGCTAGGTTTTAAAGCTTTAAAAAAAGTTTCTCATCAGCACATCCAATCATTTGAATATCATAATGTAATACTTTCATGCAAATGTTCAGTTTGAACTGGAGAGTAAGATAATATTTTGGCCTCATTATATGTAATGCTTTGTTAGATATACTCCGAACCATGTGGTTCATGCCTTTGGTTAAAAAGGGGTGAGGTGAGTAAGGGAGGAAATAAGTTTCCCAGGACTCCAACTATTTAATTGCTGGAAATTATGTTTCTTCTTCCCCTTATATTTACAAGTTGTATGTGGATTGTGGAGCTTTGCTCTATTAGCAGTGCTTAACTGCTCCCAGTCCTGCGATATCACAAAATAAGCAGCACATCACTATATCATTCCACATACATTTTGAATGTATGATTTTAAAGAATGAAATACGATCTTTAAGATTCACTACTTTCCCTCCATTGCAGCTTGGAGGGTCTCGTATAACTGTTTCAGCCATTTTTTCAGATGAGGCAAAGAAATGCAAGGCCTCCTTCTGCCAAGTCAATACTCCTGTCATTTAACAAAATAACAGAATAACAGAGTTGGAAGGGGCCTTGGAGGTCCTCTAGTCCAACCCCCTGCTCAGGCAGGAAACCCTATTCCAGTGATGGCTTTTTGCCATCGTGTGCCAAAAGTAGGGGGAGTGGGGAGGTCACTCGCACGCGTGCCCACACCCATAATTCTATGTGCCCCCCCCCCGCGCATACATGTGCAACCTCCCTGCGCTTGCCCCACTTTTGTCATGCGATGGCAAGGTAGGCCCGTTTTTCGCTCTCTCCAGGCTCCAGAGCCTTTCTAGGAGGCTGAGGAGGGCAAAAATGGCCTTCCCCCTTCCAAAAACAGAAACAGCCTTTTTCCTGACTTCCGGTGGGCCCAAAAGGCCCGAAAATCAGCTGGCCGGCACATAAATGCACACCGGAGCTAAGCTCGCATGCCCACTGATATGGCTCCATGTGCCACCTGTGGCACGCGTGCCATAGGTTCGCCATCACAGCCCTATACCATTTGAGACAAATGGTTATCCAATCTCTTCTTAAAAACCTCCCGTGTTGGAGCATCCACAACTTCTGGAGGCAAATCATTTAACTGATTAATTGTTCTAACTGTCAGGAAATTTGTCCTTAGTTCTAGGTTGGATCTCTCCTTGATTAGTTTCCATCCATTCCTTCTTGTCCTACCTTCAGGTGCCTTGGACAATAGGTTGACTCCCCTCTTTTTTTCCTTTTTTTTTTTTTTTTTTTGAGCCTTTACCTCTAATTTTTTTCTAAACTCTATATTACCGGTATTTGATTGCCCAGTGCAACTTCAAGTCTAACATTATATTAAACATAAAAAATTAAATTCAGTCCTGAACCCACTTTCAAACTAGTGACCAACAAAAACCTTATTTTCCAAGGTGATTTGGGCTAGGGCAAGTAACACGTCAGTATTTTTTCACATATCTCGGAAATACTTAACTGTAGATATGTTTAATTAGTGTAAAGAATGATTGAAATAAAATAAAATATGTACGTCAGCATTGAGTCATCTATTCTACTAACAGGTGAACTGCTATGTTTCCAATATACAGGCAGTCCTTGATTTACAATGATTCATTTAGTTACCTTTCAAAGTTATGACACTGAAAACAGTGAATTCTGACCGTTTTCATATTTATGAAAAGTGATTTATGGCCATTGCAGATTCCCATGGTCATGTGATCAAACTTCAGACGCTTGGCAACTGGCATGTATGTATGTATGGTGGCAGTGTCCCAGATTCATATGATCATCTTTTACAACCTTCTTCTACATGCAAGGTCAATGGGAAATCCAGATTCATTTAACCATGGGACTAACTTAATAACTTCAGTGATTCATGTAACAACTGTGGCAAGAAAGATCATAAAATGGAGCAAAACTCACTTAACTATCTTGCTTAGCAATGGAAATTTGGAGCTCAGTTGTGATTGTAAGTCAAGGACTATTTTGTACTCGGCTAGATAGTGGCCAAATTATACACTATGGCACCAATTGTGCAGAGCAAACTTACTGAAAACTTACTCTTTGAGGCAAACTCTGCTGGAAGAGATCATGTTTTTTCCTTCATTCTTGCTTGCCAAAAGTGGAAGCAGCCATAAAAACAATCTTCTAGTTTTGAAACTATTTGCATTCTAGTTTCAGTGTTAACGTTACGTTACGTTACGTTACGTTGTGTTACGTTATTCAAATACTCTTTTTTATGCCGCAGAATTCAAGCTTTTTGGAGGGGACATATTGTTAGAAAGTGGTATAAAAATCTGAAAAAAACAGTACCACCCCAAGATGTGAGATTAAGAAAAAAATTCTTCGAAGAAAAGGTAGGAAATTTTCATATTTCAAAATATATTACAATGCTAAAAGTCAAGTTCTGTACTGATCAAATCCTCAATCAAAACAAAATGGCTTGACTTGATTCACATCTGGATCCAAACATCTAAGCATGCATGTTTCAGTTTGGCAGTGGTCTACCCCAAAATGGTAGTTCCACAAATAGCATGGTTGAAGGTGTCTCCAGAAGAAAGGCTAGTTTCCTTCTTCCTCCACCCCATGCTTAGATTAAAGCGACAGGATCTACTAAGCTTTTAGAGCAGGGGTGTCAAACTCAAGGCCCGGGGGTTAGATGGGGTTAGATCTGGCCTGCGAGGCTGCCCTAGAAACAGTGAAGGACTGACCCTGGCGCCTCAGCCCTGGGCCAGGTCGGCCAGGCATTGATCTGAAACTTGGTGCCAGCCATTCTTAGATCTGCAGGGCTGCTGTGGAGTCAGAGAGGGGCCACCACCACATTCTGGGCATGCTCTGGAGACAGTGGTTCCCCCCAGCCCCATCTGGGTCACAAGCACCCCCGATGTGAGCTACATCAAGCTGGCCACAATCAGCCTGGCCATGGCCACCTATTGGCACCCCAGCTATGTCCACCCGGCCCCCTAAGATCAACCACAACCCTGATGCAGCCCTCAATGAAATCAAATTTGACACCCCTGTTTTAGAGCCTTGAAAATATTAAGGAAAGTATATACAAGTACAGTAGAACCTCGGATCACGAATGCTTCTGACCACGACCAAATCGGGTTCCAACAAAAAAATTCAAAAAATTTTTGAATCTGGTCATGAACACATACTTGGGTGGCGATCAAACATTCCCTCGGGAAGAGCTCCGCTCCCCATCACACACACACACGTTTAAACTTAGTGTAAAGTGAAAAGACATGCACAGGAATCAAGAGGCTTTCTCTCTTTCTTCTCCCACACCCAGCGCTCATTAGCCAGTTGCCTTGAAAAGGAAACTGGTGCGCGTTCCTCCGCCCTCCGTAAGCCCTCACTGCCAGTAATAAGCTCTCTGTGCAGAAGAGGAGGAAGATCCTCAGAATCCTGCCATGTCCCAAAAATGCAGCTTCTGAGGAATTGAAAAGTGCTGTTTCTGTGAGTTGTGGGGGTCAGCTTGCCTGGTGCACGAGCCTGGCTGGGGGGAGCGCTACTTATGCCCCTCAAGCGCAGCCGCCTTAAGATGGAGAACACGTTAACACATCAGCAAGCCGGACTGGCCTAATATGAATTTTAAGTGGGTGTATGTGTGTTTTAATTGAGGGCCAAATCGTATATATTAGTTTTAATTGGTTTTAAATTTTATAAATTCATGTGTTTTAATGTGGCTGTACACCGCCCTGAGTCCCCTGGGAGAAGGGCGGTATAGAAATCCAATAAACTCTTAAACTCTTAACCCGGCAGGAGGTGGGAAAGACCTCGTGGGTGTTGCGTGTGACTCCGCCCTCTGCCTTCCTGACCAGACTCCACAGCTGAGGGGCGATGGGATGAATTATGGTCATGACCAGAGGTTCTACTGTAGTTCTCAACTTAAAACCATTTATTTATTGACCGTTCAAAGTTATCACACTGAAAAAGTGACTTACAACCAGTCTTTGCATGGATGACCACTGGTCATGGTCATAGGATCAAATTTTTTTTTTTTTTAAATTTGATTTATATGCCGCCCTTCTCCGGAGACTCAGGGCGGCTTACAATGCGTTAAGCAATAGCCTTCATACTTTTGTATATTTATACAAAGTCAGCTTATTGCCCCCACAATCTGGGTCCTCATTTCACCTACCTTTGAAAGGATGGAAGGCTGAGTCAACCTTGAGCCTTGGCAAGATTCGAACCTGCAGTAATTGCAGGCAGCTGGTCTTAATAACCAGCTTAATAACAGGGTGCCTTAGACCACTGTACTACCAAGGCTCTTGCCAAAATTTGGCAACCGGCATGTGTTTTTGATAGTTGCAGTGTCCCAGGGTCACACGATCACCACTTCCCAGCCAACTTCTGAGAAGCAAAGTCAATGGGGGAAGCCAGTTTCACTTAACCATGTGATTCACTTAACAACTGCAGCTATTTCCTTAACAACCATGGCAAAACGATAAAATGCAGCACAACTCATTTAGCAATCCCCTTGCTCAACAATGGAAATTCTGGCCTCAGTTGTGTTGTTAATTGAGGACTACCTGTAATTCATTTTCTTCCATAAACTGAGTGCATATGGTTTCTCATATGCATTAGAGTGAGGTAGAGAGCTAAAGTATCACACTACAACCAAGGTGATCTAGGTTCAGGTTCATGTTCTACAGTGGAAACTCACTGGAAGACTTGTGGCAGTCTCACACACACTCAGTCCAATCTCCTATGCAAGGCCATGGTAAATAAGGGAAAATGCCAATGGAAGCCTCTTTGAGCTTCTGGAGGAAGAGTGAAATCTAACAAATGCATAAAATGCACGTGAGAAGAGAACCTTAAATGAATAAGAGTCCTAAAAAGGGAAGGAAAAAGCTCAAAGTGTGCCTTCCTTCCAGCTTGGTAGATGTATAAGGTTTATTATTACCTCTCTTCATGCCTGCAGGGGGGAAAAAAACCCTACTTTCTCAGTCTCAGAGACCATCTCTGTTAATAATGTCACTCCTGTCCATTTTTGAACCAATTTCTTTAATTGTCTTCAGACGGTCAAGCCTAAATCTAGCTGGATGAGGCATTGCTATTTCCATGTTAGTAGACCCGTCTCTACTAATTTTGCCTTATTTATTTGTCGCTTTGGTAGACCATTGCAGTTTCATCAGTTTACAAGATAAAATACCAAATAAACAATATACAATTAGTGCACCCAGTTAAAAGATAGGTATGCTGATGAAGAAGTGTAGAATACTAATTAAATTCCAAAATTCATTTATAACGCAACCAAACATCCTCTGGAAAGGTTCTGTTTTGCTATTTTTGCAAGGCTGTCATAATAGGAGCTATTTGGATATCCATTGGGAAGCTATTCCAAAAGAATGGAACTGCTTCTAAAAATATATTGCTGCCAAGCCTCAGCACCCACCACCTCCCTAAAGTGGGAACTCATTGGTAGCTTTTTCTAGATAAAACAACTTGTTTCTAATTGTTACAGTCAACCAAAGTGAGCTGATCTCGGGAGCAAAAGCCATTAATTTTATTGTGATTCAATTTTGAGTAAACATGCATTGGTCCATCTGGTTTATAGATTGTAAAAAAACCTCCAAGGTTTCTGAAATATAAGTTTATTTTCTCAAAGGACAGCACAAAGTACTCAGGGTTGCCTCTCCTTTTTTTTTTAAAAAAAAGTATTCATTGATAAGAACATACATAGCAAGGGTCAAGTTTTGGGACAAATAAATTCCTAAGTTAGGTCGTGTGAGTTATCATTGTTTAATCACTAAATTGCTTTATTACATAAATCAGTTAGAACTCTTGCTAATTTAGATCAAAGGAAGTATGAAAAGTTATTCTAAGCAATCCATGCTAATTTTTAACACTAACGTCCACAGAGAATGAAATGCTGCTGAATTTCCCTGGGTTAGATAACGAACCTCTTTGATTGTTAGCTATAAACAGTGCTTGTATATGTCATCTAATTGAGCCCAGAAATTTATTGCTATAATTAAATCTTTTCAAATGCATTCCATTATCTTCACTGCAGCTAAAAAAGGCAGCTATTGTTGCTTGAAACAAGGTATATTATTTATAAAATGGCACTGCTCACTCTTTCCTCACCATGTGACTCTTACCCAAAGTTTTTAATTTAAATCTCACCAAACAACATAATGGCCCAGGAGTTTGTTTAGCCATTTGACTTCCTTTATCACATAGAGATGGCAAACATTCTGTTGCTAACTTGATGTGGCTCCAGGCAGCAAGCTAAGAGGATATTAAACTAGTAAAAGCTTATCAACTGATTCATTGATACGCTGTAAATTCCAGGCTTTTCATTTTACTTTTAAGTCAACACATTAGTAAGCAATTTGCTGACATCAAGATGGATTGCTTTAAAACAGCTCCCCTTGGCAGACAAAGTTCATTTTGATGCTTTTGTGTGCATCTTTATTTAATCATGTTCTTGGGCGTCACCTAAAACCTGTGACTGATGGTGCTTTACATACAGCTAAAAATATTTAGAATGCCTCCACTGTCATATGGTTTATGTTGAAAAGCACAGAGGTGACAAAGGAAAGCACTGAATTTGGATAGGGAATCGTTTCAGAATAGACATTTTCATGGAAAGTAAAATTTCTCCCTTTTAAAATGGCAAGCTCTCTTTATACTTGTTAATTATTTTTTTAAAGAAAAAATAAATGGTTTTAATGTCTGTTGCCTCTCCTTCACATGTGTGGGGAGGAACATGCAGGTAGAAAACTATGTGTATGTGAGTCTTAAACATACAAGTTTTAAAACAAAAAGCATGTTGTACTTATTCTTAACTATACAACACACACCCATGTCTAGAATTTAAGCAAAGAAACAAAAAACAAGTCAGAAGAGAAAAAATTAAGGATTATTCCAACTTTGCTTTCTGCAAATGTCTTCATTTCTTTATCTCACCTGAAAAAGTAAAAAAGGAAAAGAGAATGCTGCAAAGCCAGTTCCCCTACTTTAAACACAGACATCCTATTGCTTTTGCAAGATACGATATCAGAACACACATAATTCAGTAGTGCTCGGAAATGATAAACAACAATAAAAGTCATGAAAGAACTCTGCAGTGTTTCCCTGATGAAGAAATAGCTTTAGAAAAGGGTAAGCTGCACAGCCTTTATGCCATCCAAGTGAGTTGGATATTAATACCAAATATAGGTTGTCCTCAACTTACAACAGTTCATTTAATAACCATTCAAAGTTACAATGGCACTGCAAAAAAGTGACTTATGACTGTTTTTCACACTTAAGACCTTTGCAGCATCCCCGTGGTCACATGATTTACAATTGGATGATTGATAATTGACTCACATTTATGATGGTTGCAGTGTCCCGGAGTCATGTGATCCCATTTTGCTACTTTCTGACAAGCAAATTCAGTGGGGAAGCCAGATTCACTTAACAGCTGTGTTACTAATTTAAGAACTGCAGTGATTCGCTTAACAAATGACGCAAGGAAAGTCGTAAAATGGAGCAAACTCATTTAACAACTTTACAGGACTACTTGCAGTTCCAATAGAAACCAAAACTTTCCCAAAGAATTTATCACAGAGTACATGGGGTTGCAAAACTTGAAAAGAATGAAGTGCAGGACCCCATCCAAGGTTGGTATGGAAGCTCCAAATTAAATAAATCTTTATGATAGTCCTGGATCAGAATAAGAATCTTCCATTTATATCGCAGCTTCCATCAAGAGCTTAAGACAGGGCTGTCAAACTCGCAGCCCAAAGGCCAGATGCGTCACGCGCTGGCCACACCCAGTTTAGTGATGGGAAAGTCGTGATACATCAAATGACACTGCCATGATGACACAAGTTTGACACCCCTGGCTTAAGATAACTACCACATCAGAAAAACATACCCTTCACAACAATTGGTTGAGATATTTTTTGAGTGAAACAAGTTTGTTACAAGAGGAGATTGAGGCTATGGTACAGCTCATTCTTGATAAATACACAATGTGCAGATATTTGAAAAGGATGCTAATAAAATATTTAGTACAGAAACAAATTACTGGTTTCAAAACAGTGGGCACGACAGAGCATTGAAGCTGCATCCCTTTTTTTGAGTGCATGCAATGTATACAACACACATCAAAACCAATCAAGACTTTACTTGGGTGATAATAGCATCATAATGACCCAATTCTCACAGCACTAAACCATAATATGGTTAATTTGGTTTGTGGTTTAAAATTTATAGCTGAAGCTGCACAATCGTGTTTACACTAAAAGAAAATGCATGTAGCTCAGGATTGAACTGGGCACACTAAGGTTACCTAGAAGGGTAATAAAAGCATCTGCACAAGCAACCGAAGTACCAAGACTGCACAGTATCAAGTAGAAAAACTATTGCAGGTGGTTCCAGTGTGCAGTTGTCTATGAGTGAATATTTATGTGCTTGTGTGCATGCATACATTTGTTCCCTGACTAAGGAAGGGTCAAAGGCAGGGGTGAAATGCTCCCGGTTCAGACCGGATCGCCTGATCCGGTAGCGATGACGGTGGGTGGTTCGGAGAACCAGTTGCAAAAATCCCTGCGCACCACCACCATCACCATGCCCAGCTGAGCTGCACGATCATCAGAGGCTTTTTTTTTTTAACTTTTAAAAGCATTTTTTTTACAACTTCTTCCGACGAAAAAAATGCTTTTAAAAGGAAAAAAAAAGCCTCTGATGATCGCGCGGCTCAGCTGGGATGGTCAGAGGCTTTTCAAAGCATTTTTTTCTGCAACCTCTTGGCCAAAGAGGTGGTAAAAAAAATGCTTTGAAAAGTCTCTGACGATCCCAGCTGAGTTGCCTGATCGGCAGAGGCTTTTCAAAGCATTAGAAAAAATGCTTTGAAAAGTTAAAAAAAAAAAGTTGGCCATGCCCACCCATTCACATTACCACCACCACCACCAAGCCACGCTCACAGAACCAGTAGTAACAAATTTTACATTTCACCCCTGGCCAAAGGTCAGTTGCAGTGAAATACTTTGCATGCTGGATTCCATTTTTAGCATCCCTTGCAAAAAATTGTGCGAAAATAAGAAATAGTACTCAATGTAAAATCAATTTTTCATATTTTTATTTTTTAAAAAAATATATGGGGGAAGTTGGACTAATGCATGCATCTTTGAGAATTCTTGATCTTGGCAACCCTTTAAGTCTGAAAACCCTACACTTCATCCTTTCCTTCATACTGAATTTTATATAATCCATATATAAATTTTAAAAATTACTAACATCCATAAACGTGGCAATTTTGTGTACCTTAAGCTAAACTTGTGGACCTAGTCATGAGTATTTTTAGTTTATCCACATGGAAATAAACAAAGCAACATGGCAGAAATCCTAGCAATTTATCTTACAGAGATATTGTAATTAATCTGATTTAATGTCCTCGTTAAAAGAAATTCCTGTTCAAGTTGACTTTTTAAGTTGTTTAACCTCTAAATTTAAATTATGTAACATGCTACGCATTCTTTTTTTCGAGAACGCCTATAGCTGCACTTAACATTTATGGCATCTGTAGAGCGGCATAGTATATGCTCTGCTGTTTACATGTAATCTATACCATTTAAGTGAAACGATTGATCTTAAACCAGGTAATTAAAAATGATCTTCCTTTTGAGATACTTGGTAATAATTTTGAATAATTTGATGGATCAAAAAAAAAGAGAGAGTTGGCATTCTTTTCATGCTACGGATTTAGGTCTCATTTCCATGTACTCCAAGGATTCAACCCTATAGGACAAAGAGGAGGAATCAACCAACTGAATAGATGGGCACAGTGTATGACCGGTATTATCTTTGGGCTCATGCAAGATATTTAGGAATCCAAAACAATCTATTTATTTTAATCCCAATTCAGTATTTATGTGCTAATCTAGCACACAGAAAATATGCCGGAGACACATGAAAACCACAGTATTTCCAAATATTGAAAATATGCTTAGAATTTAACACCACAAAGTGCATTTTGAAACAGCCTTTGTGTGGCCTAGCTTGCAGGGAGAAATTGACAAGAGCTGGGGAAGAAATGTCCAATGGAATAACCAGAAATGAAAGAGAGAGGATCACATAAATATTCAAAATGAAGAAAAGTCTATTATATCTGATTGAATTAGGTTTAATTCTCAGAGTGGAGCCACCAAAATCAGTACAGTAGGTTTTAGTGAGTTTTGTTAATTATGTTAGTTTTATTCTCACTGTGATGGAATCTGAAACTACCATTTGTTTAAATGTTTACAATATTCTTGCTGATAATTTTTAAAACTATCCCAACATGAGATCTGCTATAGAATCAATATAGAGCCACAGAATGAAGCAAATGATGTAGCTTGATTTCTGTGTCCACTCTCAAAATCCAAATGTAGAATGGGAAAAGATTGTCCTAAATTTACAACAGTTCATTTAGTGATTGTTCGAAGTTACAATGGCACTGAAAAAAGTGACTTATGACCGTTTTTCACACTTACGGCCATTGCAATATCCTCATGGCCACATGATCAAAATTTGGATGCTTGGCAACTGAGCCATCAATTTCTGTCGGTTGCAGTATCCTGGCGTCATGCAATCATCTTTTGTAACCTGATAAGTAAAGCCAATGGGTTAACCAGATTAACCTAACAATCCATGTTACTAATTTAACAGTTATACTTAAAACTGTGGCAAGAAAGGTCGTAAAATGGGGCAAAACTCACTTAACAAATACCTCACTTAGCAACAGAAATTTTGAGATCAATTGTGGTCATAACTCGAGGACTGCAGGACAAAGTAATAGTGAGCCAGATCAATAGGCCTGAAGATATTTGGGGGGAAAGAATAAAATGGAGAAATGAGTATTAAAGCAGCCTGTATCAAGTACCCCAAATGTGCCCTTCACTACCCAAGAAATGAGAGGGATTTTTAGAGTAAAAAAGGATGAATTATAATCTGTTGCAGAGCTCCACTTGTTAAGATATTAATACAACTTAATTTGATACTTAATTTAGAACTTCAAAAAGGGTTATTTGTTTCATTGTACTATTGTTCCCCTGGGTTTGATGCAGAAATGAAATCAATTGCTATGCAGTTTTCCAGTGGCTTGCTTTACAATCTCTAACAGCAGTTGCAGTAAATAATTTTGGGAGAGTTTGGCTTCGGCAAGCTGCTTTGCTTGTTGACTCTCTCCCACATGCATGCATCCACCCCATGCATATGCAAACACAGGTACACAAAGAGATAGGATTCTTATTAGACTTGTTTCACTTGAGCCACAAAAAAATCTTTAAAATGATACCCTACATGGCTCAGGGCCAGGGTATCTTCGAGACCGCCTTCTACCACATAACTCCCAACAACCGGTAAGATCCCACAGAGTTGGTCTCCTCCGGGTCCCGTCAGCTAAACAATGCTGGCTGGCGGGCCCGCGGGGGAGGGCCTTCTCTGTGGCTGCCCCAGCTCTCTGGAACCAGTTACCTCCTGAGGTCCGGACCATCCCCACCCTATTGGCCTTCCGGAAAGCGGTGAAGACCTGGCTTTTCCGGCAGGCCTGGAGCCGTTGATCTCGCTCTGGCAAGATCCAGCCATGAATGGTGTGGATGAGTTTTAATGTTTTTAATTCTTAAATGTTTTTTATAATGATTTTAAATGCATTGTGAGCCGCCCTGAGTCTTCGGAGAGAGGCGGCATACAAATTGAATTAATAAATAATAAATAAAACAAAAGTGATATATTTTGATAAAATGCTACACAGACCCCCCCTCTCTCTTTTTTTAACTCATTAATTGTAAAAATGTTTGTCTCATCTTCCAGTTAACTGAGATTTGCCAGCGATTACTGAAATCCTATGATACTTGTATTGACGAATTCTTCTGTGAGATAGATTCTACTGTAGCTGCAAGTCACAAAGTATTTCAGCAACTGGAGGAAAAGTTGGGCCCAGAGATACATGAAGTTGAATGGGAAAAAATTCAGATTCAGGTTGGTTTCTGAGTAAGCAAATAATCAAGCTCTCAGAGAGCACCAAGTGAAATACTATCTTATACTGTCACATCATCTTATGTCAATTCTAGCTGTGGTTGTTAAGTACAATGTCACATGACTACAACTTGCAACTTCCTGCCAGCTTCTTCACTGGGCTTTGTTTGTTGGAAGGGGCTGTGGAGGTTACAAACCATGATCATGTGTCCATGAGATGCTGCAACCAACGTAAATGTGCATCGGTTGCCAAACTCCCAATTCTGATAAAGATACAGAGATAGTTATGGGCACAATTTCCGAGACTGATTGTAAGACTAGCACCATACTAACTTTGAACAATTGCTGAATGAGCATTTTGGTAAGCAAGGACTACCTGTACATTACTGTTTATACATGGTGTGGGCCCACTTTGCTCTTACAACAAGTCTGTGGTCTGAGGATCCACAAACGGTCACTAACATAAGTTTGTGGCTGAATCTGGAGTTAGACTAATGCTGTTTCTGATTCAAGTCTACCACTCCTTCCGTTAAATCACATTTGTATATAATGCTGGGTATTTTGTTTGGTTAACTAAGACAGTTGTTGATTCTTGCCATATACGCCAATTTAACTTTAGCAACACAGATGTGATTTTACCTTACTTCGCTATGTTATCTTTGCTGTTCAATTTTAGTACTTTAATGGCCAAGAATTAAAACTGTAAACCAGGGGTGTCAAACTCGATTTCATTGAGGGCTACATCAGGGTTCTTTGACTTGGGGGCCCAGGGTTGGTGTGGGCAGGGGGGCGTGGCCAGCTTGATGTCACTCATGTCAGGGGCACCTGTGGTAGCCCCCGAACTCCATTTTTGGCTGTGATGGCTTCCTGCAGCCCTCTGCCAGCAAAAATGGAACTAGGGAGGGCCACCCCAGCTCCATTTTCGCTGGCAGAGGCACCGTGGGCCAGTCCTTTGCTGTTTCCAGGGCGGCCTGCAGGCCAGATCTAACCACCTCCTGGGCCGGCTCCAGCTCCCGGCCCTCGAGTTTGACACCCATGTTGTAATCTGTAAAACTGTATTTGTATATAAAATACTTTTTAGTTTTTGAACAAACGAAGCATTTGAATTACTGTAACCAGAATTAATCATCCCAAAGTATAAAACACTTAATAAATTCATAGAAGCAGCTTTGGTGCTTTGCACGCACAGCATTCTCTGACCTTCCCAACCATTTTTGTTTTAGGCTTTCCGACAAGATATTGCCGATTGTCCTATTTGCATTATGCCGCTCATGCAGCCAGCTCAACTTCAGGATGGACTTTCCCTGGATGGCTATCAGTCATGTCCCCGTCAGACAGCACTGCTCTCCTGTTCTCACATGTTCCATAGTACCTGTCTTCAAGCATTTGAAGAGTTTTCTTTACGAGAAAGACCTATCTGTCCTTTATGCCGTTCCTGTTATCAGAAGAAAATTCTCAGCTAACATTTAACGATTTAACATAAAATTATGAATATATTTGTAAGCGACCTTAGTAGAAATAATTTATCTAAAGTTTTTTAATTGCATTTCAGCAAGAGGGAGTACAGAAATTAATTTTTTTTTCCGGTGGGTGCACATGTGTGAAAACCTAGGGAGTGCTATCCTTAGAGATATTCCAGCCATTCAGGTGGGATTCGTTCTTTTCTGTGTCACTTCAACTGAACGTTTGCATGCATGGGCAGTCCCACAGGTGCCAATGGATTGTCAGAAAGAGAGAAAAGCTCCAAATCCCTGGAGAAACTTGGGAGAACCAACTACAAGAAAACATTTCTTCATAAGTTTAAGCTAAGATGAACGTCTAATATTCCCTTCTCAGTTTGGTAGGCTTCTATCAACTAAAACAAGGACTCTGTAGGTACCTATTCACCAAAGACAACAGAAAGAATAATTGATGCATTGTATAATGCTTTGCAAAGGTTTGTAATTCTGGCTAGTTTCCTGATGGGAAATCATTTTTGGGTGACCAATGTTCTTCAACTGGATATTTGTAGCTATAGATGTAGTACGTCTCTACGAGCCAGAGATGAGATTTTTACATAAGGTTCTTGACTGTTTTGCTGCCTCTTTGCTCACTGTATATTTTAATGCATTGTTTTAGGAAGCAGGAAGAGGTGTTCCACTTAATCCTGTGCGACAGCCAAAGAACACAGCTGGTAATGGGCAAACGAACTGATTTTGGAAGTGAAAAATAGGACTCTTCTCCTGGCTATCAGGAAAGGCTTTTTTCAAAGTTCTTGTAGACCTTTCTAATGGGAGTACAGTGAGATCATATTTCAAGATGGGGGTAGGATTAATTAACTGAAGAAACCACTAACTTATTTGGGGTGGAGATGCTTTGCCTGGAGCTCAGCTTTTTTTTTTTTTTTTTCTCAATACTTGCAAGATTCTAATCCTGATACTTGTTCAGGCTAAGGCAAAAATTGCATTAGTACAGCTGAAGAACTCGCCTCACAAAATGTCTCAATAACAAAGAGTACCCCGTTCTCACATGGGTTTTGTTCAGTCCATTTATGCCTGAGATAGGCAATATGCTTTCTTTGATCAGGGGTTTGAGGATAATCTGTTAGAAGCTGCATGCCATTGGTGAATGAAGCCGAAGCTGAATGGGATTGCCTATTTTCCCCCCTAAGAACCCTTTTCTCTCTTTGGTATCTGCTTCTCTGCACACTCTTGTATCTCCTCCCCACCCCACATTCTTCTGTGTCAGCAAAAGGAGATAGATTACTGTTTCCTGAGGCCCAGGTTGATGGTAGAAAAAATGTATTTATTAAACTTGGGAAATTAGGTAGAGAGATGCATATGATCTTGTGACTGTACATTATTACCTATCTCTAATTTAAACAGAAGAGTTTTAGAAATGGTAAGCTTTTAGGGACATTGTTAATGTACCTAGAGACCTCACTTATGCAAAAAGATTAATATTTTACAAAACCATTAACCCAAGTTTCTTTGAAGAACTTTATCAAATACTGTAGATCAGCAAAGAAAAATACTGTTTCGATATAAATAGAATACCTGTGAATTGGGACATGGAAGCTTTGTTACTTAACACTTTGTTAAGTATGCAAATAAGATGCACACTCCAAGCTTTATACTCCCCAAATGCAATTATAAAACTTCTTAGAATCAAGTCACAGAGAAAAGTCTTGTCAAATACTTTAATCAACACTAAACAGGCAAATGTATAGAAGTGTGAATAAAAAAGGGTGAGGGTCACCACATTATATCCAATTAAATCAAATGTTCCAGTTCATCTGTACTGCTGAATTAACCCACGTCCACTTTAGTTTAGCTTTAAAAGGTGAATAGCAAAGATGTGCTCAAGTCGTATCAACAGATCTGTCATAATGTATCCACACCGTACTATCAATCTATCATGGAGAAAGCCAAACAAAGGCTTACTTGAAACACTTGGCTTTGCACATTTTTGGTCTGCTTTGATAGATACCTTAGTACATTTAAGGAAAGCATATTTGTGCTTAAGCCTCATAATAAATGAGGCAAAGGTTGATACCTGAAGATAAGCTTTTTTATATATCTCAAGAAGTACAGGTTACTTGACTTTAAGAGTCAAACCGCTAGGAATGCATTATCGATATTCAATGAATTATGAACCAAAAATGCCTTTTCTAATTTTATAAAATATTTCTGAGTGGGTTTTTTTTAAACATAGTTGCAAGTAAAAATGTCATTTCCAAAGTAGTCTACAATAGGTCATTTCACACAGTCAAAGCCATGAAACAGAGGAGCTCATAGATATATATCTTTCTGATGCCACTTATCTATTTTCAAAATAACGTTATCATAAATCTGTGTATGGGGATAAAAGATGAACAGCATTTTGAAAATGAGATTCTATGCAATCTTTCTATACTAGAAAACAGGTGTGATGCTGGCACTAGGACCACATTAAGATGTGAAATGCTTCTAAGGCAAAGGCAGAATATTCAAATACATGTCAATACATGGGCTGAAAAATTGAACAGATCACAAAACATCCAAGTAGATTAAATTCTCAATAGTAAAATCTTTTTTTTAAAGGGAATCTTTCAATTTAAGTATCATTAATATAAACTAATCCAGGATAACGAAGGAAGTGGACGTTACTTATGTGAACGTCTTTTCTGGGCGCGCTGCTGGAGAATCCAAGAGTGTGGGTAATTCCCTCAGTTAGGATGAAGATACTGAGTGCCTGTTGCCTTAAGAGATTGTTGACTCCGCCCTCGGGCTTGGCTGAGGCTCAGTTTCTTTCACGAAGAAGGCAAAACAGGAACAAATCAAGCTCGCCAGGGAGAGTTGGATTCTCCAGCAGTGCGCCCAGAAAGGACGTTCACATAAGTAACGTCCATTCTCTGGCGCGCTGCTTGGAGAATCCAAGAGCGTGGGACGTACCAAAGGGTCATGAAGGGTGGGAAAACAGTTGTTCAGTAGAGTCCGAATTAGAGATGACAGATTGTAAAACACGCCGTCCAAAGGACACCTCAGCCGAGGCAAAGGAGTCAACCTTATAATGGCGCATGAATGGTGTAAGGGATGTCCAGGTTGCCGCGCGGCAAATGTCCAGGATAGACGACTGGGTGGCCCAGGCAGCGGTTGTGGAGGCGCTCCTCGTCGAGTGCGGTAGAATACGGCCCGGAGGTGACTTGTTCTGGAGCGTGTATACCTTAGCAATGCACACCTTGAGCCAGCGTCCGATGGTGGCCGAAGAAACTTTGCGCCCCATTGACCCAGGCAGAAAAGAGATGAAGAGGGCCTCTGACTTGCGGAAAGCAGCAGTTCGCTTGATGTAATGTTGGAGCGCCCGACGGACATCTAAGGTGTGCCATTGAGCTTCTAGCCGATGACGAGGAGCAGGGCAAAAGTCCGGGAGGACGAGCTCCTGGGAGCGATGGAACATCGAATTTACCTTTGGCAAGAAGGAAGGGTCCAGCCGGAGCACCACACGGTTGGCGTGAAAAATACAAAGGTCTGGACGGACGGAAAGAGCCGCGAGTTCAGATACTCTTCTTGTGGAAGTAATGGCGACGAGGAACACCACCTTCAAGGCCAGGAACCGCAGGCCAATGGAGGACAAGGGCTCGAAAGGAGCGGACATCAGAACCCTGAGAACCAAGGGAAGGTCCCATGTTGGATATTGGTGGCCGACGGGGGTCGGAGATTAGTGGCCCCCCGGAGAAAGGTACAAATCTTAGGGTCCTGAGCCAAGGGAAAAGGCGACGCCTTCTGAAGGACCATGCTGAGGGCGGCCACCTGGCGGCGGAGAGTATTTGTTGCCAGGCCTTTGTCGAAGCCGTCCTGAAGAAATCAAAGTATAGTGGAGATGGAGGCGGAAGACGGGTTGGAGTTGTAAGCCGCACACCAACGACGGAAGGCTCGCCACGTGGCGTCATAAATTCGATTTGTAGAATCTCAGTGGGAAGCTTGCATAGTGGCAATAACCCGCCCTGGCAGGTTGTCTCTCAACAAGAGGGCCCTCTCAAATGCCAGACGGTCAGTTGGAGCCACTGAGGCTCCGGGTGGCAAATGACCCCCTGGCAAAGAGAGATTCGATCCTGGGGAATCCTCCAGGGCCGGGAGATGGACAAGTCCAGCAGGTCCGCGTACCACGCCTGTCCCAGCCAGTGCGGAGCGACCAGGAGAACTTCCGCTCCCTCCAAGATGATCTTCCGCAGTACTCTGGGGATGAGAGGGAGAGGAGGAAAGGCATACAGCAGTCCCGGTGCCCACGGGCATCGGAGGGCGTCCGTCCCCTCTGCTGTCGGGCAAAGGAACCTGGAGAAAAAGCGGGGAAGGTGAGTATTGCGTGGGGTCGCGAACAAATCCACAATCGGAGTGCCAAACCTGGTTGACAGCGCTCGAAAGAGAGAGGGGTGCAGCTGCCACTCGGTGTGGTCGATCTGGGAGCAGCTTAGCCAGTCCGCCTGGATGTTGTCCGACCCGGAAATATGCTGAGCCGTGATGGAGAGCACATGTTTCTCCGCCCAAGATAGAAGCGACATCGTCTCGTCCATGAGCGACTTGGATCAAGTGCCCCCCTCCCGATTGACGTGTGCCTTGGCCGTGGTGTTGTCAGTCAAGACAAGTACATGTCCCTCCACGTCGGACTGAAAGAAGCGGAGCGCCAGGTGGATCGCTCGGAGCTCCAACCAGTTTATGTCGTTCTGTAGGTCTCGTGGCGACCAAAGCCCCTGCGCAACCTTGGCTGAGAGGTGGGCTCCCCAGCCCACGAGGCTTGCATCTGTCGTTATGGTCACTCGGTGCGGCTCCTGGAAGAAAGAGCCCTGTGTCACCGCAGGGGAAGTCCACCACCGGAGAGACCGCCGTATTGATCGGGGGAGGGACACTTTGGTCCTGGAGTTGCTGCCGAGGGACTTCTGAAGGGGGAGGAGAAACCACTGAATGGGACGGGAATGAAGACGAGCCCAGGGCACGATGTTTATACAGGAGATGAACTTGCCCAGGAGTTGAGACAGTGACAGGATGGGAATCGTGGTAGAAGAACAGACCTGCGAAATCATGGTCGCTATGCTCGTTCGACGATCCTGCGAGAGGAAGACATGTCCCGAAGCCAAGTCGATGATGGTCCCGAGGTGCAGGAGACGCATGGTGGGATGTAAGTGGCTCTTTTCCAGGTTCAGAGAAAAGCCGTGACAACGCAAAGAGTTGCACACCATCTCCAGATCCTGCAGAGCTCGGCTGTGGGACGAGGACAGGATCAAGATGTCGTCTAGATAGCAGAGGACTCTGATAGGGATGAGTCTGAGCGAGGCTGCAACCACCGCAAGGACCTTCGTGAACGTGCGAGGGGCGGACGAGAGACCGAACGGCATCGCCCTGTACTGAAAGTCCTGGTTGGCATAAGAAAAGCGGAGGAAGCAGCGATGCGATGGTCTTACCGGAATGTGGAGGTATGCCTCCTTCAGGTCTATTGAAGTCATCATGTCCAGCCTCCGGATGCATCCCAAATTGAAGAAAGGGACTGCATTTTGAAACGATGGTACGAGATCCACTTGTTCAGTTCCTTCAAATCCAGAATGCCTCGCCAGCCTCCTGAGCTTTTCGGGACGAGGAAAAATATTGAGTAGAAACCAGTTCCACGATGTTCTGTGGGAACTGGCTCTACAGCGTGGATATCCAGCAGATGCTGAATTTCCTCGGACATTAAGACGCCGTTTCTCGGGGTTGGCAGACACCGGCAGGAAAGAAAACGGCTGGGAGGGAGGGAGGAAAACTCCAGGGTCAGGCCCAGCCTGATTGTTTGAAGGACCCAAGCATCCGACGTCGAAAGTTCCCACTGGTGTAGGAAGTGGGTGAGGCAGCCGCCGATGGGGTGGCTGGGACAGTCATTTACCCCGTCTGAAGGAACGAGATCCGGCACCACGGAAGGGATGCTTGGAAGGTTGTTGGCGTCGACCACGATCTCAAAAGGGAGCACGGTCTGGGGCACGGTCGGAGAAGGAAGAAGGCCGGTAGGCAGCGGAACCGCTGGTTCCAGTGGTGGGACGAAAGGACTGTCGCTGGCCGTATGGAGAATAACGACGATCGGCCCTTCGGAAGGACGACGGCATGACCTTTGTTAGGATATGTATAGTTAAAGAGCTAAATAAGATAGGTTTTCATGAAGGTGTAGCAGATAAATGTCTCTTTAAAAGAGAAAATAATGGTGTAGTATCATTTTTGTTGTTGTTTACAGATGATATAGCCATAATAGCCAAACTGACAATGAAGCCATAGATATTGTTAAACAGTTACAAACCAAATTTAAGATTAGAAATTTAGGAAATATTAGGCATTATTTGGGTCTAGATATCAATCAAACAGCTAGAGGTTATAAAATATCTCAATCTAGCAAAATAAGCCAAATGTTGAAACGTTATGGCATGGAGCTATGTAAGCCAGCTAAAACATCTACGGCACAGGATTTTCAACAAGGTGAAATCCAAAGCCCTAAATTTAGTAAGATCTACCAGTCTCTTATAGGTAGTCTATCTTATATAAGCAATTGGTCAAGACCCGATATTTCATTTGGAGTAAACCAATTAGCGAGGTATAACGCAGAGCCAACTGATAGGCATTGGCAGGCCGCAAAGCGTATATTAAGATATCTGAAAATGACGATGCATTATGCATTGTATCTAGAACCTAACAATGATTTAGTATTGAGTGCATATGCTGATGCCAGTTTTGCTACTGATGTGACCACCAGAAAATCCACATCGGGTATAGCTATCATGTTAGACATGTTTGATTGGCTGGAAATCAATTCGTCAAAAACATACTAATCTTTCGACTATGGAGGCAGAGTTCTCAAGTTTGTCACTAGTTTGTACTGATTTAATTTATTACAAACAATTAATGTTGAATATTGGTTTAAAGATGGATTATCCAATTGTAATACATGAGGACAACCAAGCTGCTATAAAAATGGAACAAATTTAGCAGTTAAAACTAGAACTAAGTATACTGACATTAGGTATCTGAATGTTCGTCAGTGTATCCAAAGCAACATGGTTAGTTTGGAATATTGTATGTCGGAAGACAATATTGCTGATAATTTTACCAAAGCGCAAGGTGCTATAAAACATAGAATGTGTTGTGAAAGCTATGGATTAAGAATCTAAACTGTATATATTGACCTGTCCAAAGGGGAGAATGTTAGGATATGGTTTGAGCCTAACTAGTTGTCCAGGCAATATATGTGTACTGTAACTTGAATCTGAAAATGTATTATGTGACTTTAATGCTGAGTCATGCTGTAATTAGATAATGACCAGTTATGAGAGTATTTAAGCAAGGTCCTGTAACATGTTCAGTTGCTGCTATGCTATGCTGCCATTGTGTATGAAGATGATGAGATGATGAAGTTGCTATGATAAGCTGCCATTGAGAGGAGTTGCTATCTGCTAATCATCGTTGGATGGATCTGCAACCATCGTGGTTTGTGAACCAGAGTGAGTTTGTTATTCTAACCAACTACTGTTTGTTGGGTAAGAAGATTCTGTAACTACTGGACTGATTTACTGGCAAAGACTTGGAATTTGTTTAAAGACTATGAGACTGTTCTTCTACTATAAAGTAAGCTTTTGATAAACCAGTTTGCATAACTCTTATTCATTGCTCTCAGCAACGTTTCCTTGTGCGTTTACTCTGCTGTTTGGTAACACAACAACAATATCCTTAACAACCTTCCTCTTATCTTTATCCTCTATGAGGATAGGGTCCAGCGCCTCCCCGAAGAGTGTGGAGCCTTTGTATGGTGCGGAGGCGAGGCGCCATTTTGCCTTAGTGTCCGCCCTCCACGATTGCAGCCACAGGAGGCGACGGGACGTAATGGTCGAGACCAGGGCGCAGAAGGCAAAGCGAGTCACAGCCAGGGCAGCATCGGCAGAGTATTCCGTGGCGGCTACCAGCTTATTTACGTCCTGATGCAAACGCCTATCATCGGGGGGAAGTCTTTTTGTAGCTGGCGGAGCCAGATCAGAGATGCGCGGTTGAAGGAGGCCGACGTAGCCGCGCGAATGGCCCAAGCCGCCGCTTGACGTGATTTGCGGAAAACCAGTTCGGCCCTCTTGTCCTCCAAACGGAGGCCATCCGCTGAATCGTTGGAGAGGATCGCGAAAGATGACAAGGCCGCAACCGGGGCATCCACTGATGGTAAGGTCAGAAGATCCTGAAGAGAAGGGGCGGAGCAAAAAAGCTTTCTATCCAAACCATTAGCAGCTGCCAAAGATCCAGGTTGAGTCCAAGTGAAAGAAGACTCCAGAGTAGAAGGTGCGGCCGAGCAAAGAAGACAAGCCCCAAGATAGCGCGAGCGCGGGAAAAACAACCCCGGTGTAGGCGCGCAGCGATGATTGAAATTATGGTCCGAAACAAAGGGCACTGTCTAGGAACGAGACGCCTAGCGCTGTCAGAAGGCAGGCAAATCTTCTCGCTGCGTTGGGGATGGTTTTTGAGGGTCCACAAACGCAGGAAAGTTCAAATTGGTGGGGCTACACCTTAGGTAGACGGAGGCGGCGATACTGCGTCTCCAGGGGACGAGACACTCACCGGAGAAGGTAGAAATTAGACCAGGCGGCTCGTTTGATCGCAGAAAAAGCACGCAGAGATGCCGATGGCAAGGCAGAGCTCAGCGGCAGGCGGAGAAGGTAAGGAAGGCTCTGGCGAGCGGCCCAAAATTTCCAGTGGCGAAAAAAGCCCCAACTCGCAGCCCAGCAGAAAATGGCCGATTGACAGTTGTAAGTATGCACGCAGAGATACCGATCGCTAGGCAGAGCTACTGCGGCCCGAAAGTAAGCTGGGAAGCGAAGCTCGCAGAGATGCGTGGCTGAATGCAGAGCTCTGCGGCCTGACAAACGAGGGCAGGGAGCCTGGAGCCCCAGACCCCTCAGCGCCCCGATTAGAGAGTGATATGCTCAGTCCAAGTAATGTAGACAAAAAACCCCAAGGAAAGGGAACTAGGATATAAATGTAAATAAAAAAAAAAAATAAGGAGAATGCACGGAGCAATAGAAAGGCACTGCAGCTATCCTAACTGAAAGGAACTGAGCCTCAGCCATGCCCGAGGGCGGAGTCAACAATCTCTTAAGGCAACAGGCACTCAGTATCTTCATCCTAACTGAGGAAATTACCCACGCTCTTGGATTCGCCAAGCAGCGCGCCAGAGAATATTTCTTTTCCAGCATGTGTCCTTATTTGAATGGGGATTTGTACTCAAAAGCAATGGACCCTTTAATCAGTGTTCATGTAGGAGATGCTTCTTCCACTGAGAATTACAATTGTTCTTTATGTGTTGTTAAAAATTAGTCTAAGAACTTGCTGAAAATTGAAAGTTCACAGAGTTTCAACTGTGTTCCCAACAAGGAAACAAGATCCTAAATCACACCCATCACTAATTTGAGTATATTTTTCCTGAATGTTGCCCTAAAGCCAAGATTTCCAAGAATTCAGCTTACTTAGATAAAATATTAATTTATCATAGTAGCTCCTCATATTTAACAATATATTTGAATCATATTATCATGAAAAAGGAGCCAAACTGACCTAAAAGTGATTATTACCATTTCAACTTGTGATAGTTCAATATTTGAAATCATTTCAATGAGCTAATTTTGCTACAGCTTTCACTGTAGCGAATAACCCAACACTGCAATTCATTCCAAATTCTTAGAACCTTCCTTTTGAGTATTTTATTCCACACTTGTATTGGTTATGCTAGAAAAATTCCTATTTGCTATTTGCTACAATTTTTACCTTCCAAATAATGCAAAATTCATTAATAGAAGAAACAGTATAAAAGTTAAGAAACAGGTTTTTGATGTCCAAGAACTCCATACTGGTAAATCAATGGAATTAATAGAAAACATGTTTATGAATCCTATGAAATTAGCAACATCGTAATCCAAAACACCTGAATTAAATATCTGGACATTGTGCAATGTGTTTGAGACTATTTTGAGGCTTTGGGTTTACAGATATTTACAGAGATTAACAGTAACAGATTAACAGCAACAGATTTTCCACAAAGAGAAATACTTGAAGTTACAGAGTCCCAATAAACTATCCTTGATCAAATGATTATACAGAAAATAGGATCAACTCCATTGGACCAAGTAATCACAGTAGTCTTTACCATCTGCCTGCCTCTACTCAGTACATTAGTAAACAAATGCAGCTTAACTTCCTTCTGCCTTTTTTACAACTTCACAGGATTTTGTAAACTTCAACACTGTAACAATATCCAACTCCTATACAATATCTAAAACCCTGAACAAGAATTTTAAAGTTTTCATATTATAAACTAAGCAAAATGCTAGCTCAATTCTGTGTTCGTAAAAAAAAAATAGACGCATGTACACATATAAACAACAAAAAGAACCAGGGTGGATAAAAATCAATTTAAAAAAAAAATCAAAAAAATCAGATTTTTTTTAAATTTAAATCGATTTATTTTATTTATTTATTGGATTTTTTTTATTTTTATCAAATTTATTTTAATAGAATGCTTTTAGAGTAAAAATCTTATCTAAAGATAGTTTTCTATTTAAGATACATTAATAAGGCTATACATTCTGCAATATTGGGACTGTCGGTAAGTCAACAGCAGGTCAGAGGAGGAACTGCTATGGGACAGAGATAACAACTGTTCTTTAAAAATTATGATTTAAATCAAGTTGATTTAAATCAAGCCTTTTACTACTGTTTTAAATCGTGATTTTAATCGTGATTTAAATCAAATCCACCCTGAAAAGAACTAATGAAAAAAATACCTTGTTCAGCGAAATAAAATATATTTATCAGTCATAGGAATGGGCCTCATTTAAAGACAACTGTGAAAATTGGGTGCAATTGTTTTCTTCTCAGAGTTTATACATATGTATATTTTACACATATTTTTGTTCATATTGTTTAGCTGAGTATGACAATCACGTTTTTAGGCATGATTATACATAAAATGATCAGAAATCTACAATTACTGTTTCCCAGGCTCAGATTTAGCACTGTAGTTACGAGATTATGTTATTGCATAAATCAGGGCTTGCAAAGGAAATTTTCCCTAGCAAAAAATGGGGCAGTTTACCATTTAAGAATAAGAACTTCTGTTATCTTAGATACAATCATAGTGCAAACTGATTTGATGGGTAGATTAATGCATTGATCCTGAGCCTTATTGTGCTCTCACAAGTTTTCAAAATGCATCTTACTGGAAAAATCAACATCTTGAGTAGAGGTTTGCCATTTTCACATAGCAAGCTCATCTCTGAAATTCATCTTCAACAATATATTTACATGCAGAAGATTCTCGTCCTTGGATTCAGAAATCAGTATGAAGATCTGTTCAAAGAGGAATATTCAAGAGACATCTCTGGTTGACAGAAAAATTAAAGTAGATCGATCCAAGCAAGAAGAGTATGGTCCAATGCAACCAGCTTTCTTCTGCATCGACCTGGATCCAAGGTATAAACAAGTAAGAGCAGTAGAAAACAAGTACAATGAAGTGAAAGGAATGTCAGGAAGCTGAAGGACTCATTTCCACCGACTGTGATTCACAGTGTTTTCTGATGCCCATTTACAGAAGGCTTTGTTGTCTCGGAGTCTCTTGCGTTGTGCGAGAGATGCAGTTTATCTAAACCTACAAAATAAAGAGTAAAGTTTATGTTTCATTCCTAACTGGCACTGCACATTATAAAACCAAAGTAATAACTTGAGCATAGTACAAACTTTATCAAGAGCAAAACCTGTGCACGGCACAGGCACAATTAAGGTAGTTAATTCCCTGTGTTATTAAAAAGCATTAGGTGAAAGCCTCAATTGACTAGAGGCATGATGGCCAAGAGAAGTCAATATCAATAGGTTCATCCAGTGACTATGGTAGAGTAGAGCATGTGTGTGTGTGTGTGTGTTTCTCTAATCCTCTGGTGAAGAGATAATAAATACATACAGGCAAGGGAGTATAAGATGAATTATCATAATTAAATTAAATTGAATTTAAAATACGTGCAGGGAAGGAAGTGTAAGATGTATAGGGTTTCCTGTTTGAAGAAGGGAGATGGACTAGAAGATTTCCAAGTCCCTTCCAACTCTGTTTCGCCGTTAATTATAAATGAGAGAGCTAAAATGTATCTCAAAGAGTGCATGAAATCCATACGTTGGTGATAGCATGACGGTGAGTAGTATTGGTAGAAGAACCGGAGATATGTTTTGGAATAATCTACAACTGCCTAAATAAACTGGAAACTGCCTTTCCCACTGGTATTGTAAAGGGACTGTTTTCTTAGGCAAAATGAAATGGGGGGAAGGGGATGACGTGAGAGAATAGCACTGATGGGTATCTGCTTAGAAAAGAATCTGCTTATTTCAAGTAAGTAAGACCAGGTCTATAATATTTGCATACACACAAAAGAAAGGCAAAGGAATTAATATAAATATAAACATGATTGATTTAATATAACAAAAAATGAGAGAATTAATGATGTAATGAACAGCTATGAATGTGAAACATGCTATAGTGACATCTCCAAATTATATGCAGGTACTCCTCGACTTACAACAGTTCACAATGACGGTTTGAAGTTACAACACTGAAAAAAATGATTTATGATTATTTTTCACACTTACGACTGTTGCAGGATCCCCATGGTCATGTGATTTACATTCAAATGCTTGACAACTGACTCACATTTATGACAGTTGCAGTGTCCTAGGGTTACGTGATCACCTTTTGCAAACTTCTGACAAGCAAAGTCAATGGGGAAGCCAGATTCACTTAACAACTGGGTCACTAATTTAACCACTGCAGTGATCCATTTAACAAATATGGCAAGAAAAGTCGTAAAGAGACAAAACTTACTTAACAAATTTCTCACTTGGCAATATAAATTTTGGGCTCAATTGTGATTGTAAATTGAGGATTATCTGTATACATGATTAAAAAAAACCTACAGTAAATACTGTAGATGACTTCATGTACCTTTGTAGAAAAAATATTAAAGATAGGGAAATGGTTAAAGAAAATTTAAGACATAAAATGTTGGTGTAGAAGAGCATACTGCATACATGTCCTTTATTGTTTATTCATTTGTTTATATATTTTTTCACATTTTTGAACCACCCTTCTCCCCTAGACAGAGATTCTAGTTGGTGTACAATAGTATTAAAATATAAAAATAGCATCTGGGAATTTAAAATTTTAAAAAATAGAATTTAAAAGGGGCAAGGATGATTGAACCCTGTTAAATATTAGTGATTTATTACTAATAAATGTATATGGAAGTGAGGGTTGCCTATGAATCAGAATTCAATGGGAATGAGAAATAGGGTGGAAAAAGAAGCGACAGATGAAGAATGAAGAGGGAAGTGAATGTTAGCAGATTGAATATAAAAGTGAGTACAGATAGTGTTCAACTTACAACCATTTGTTTAGAGACCATTCTAATTTATAACAGCACTGAAAAAAGTGACATATGAGCAGTTTTCACACTTACAACTGTTGCAGCATCCACATGGTCACAGAATCAAAATTAAGGCACCTGGCAACTAGCATGTACATATGACACGGGCACTGTCCCAGGGGTCATGTGATCCCCATTTGAAACCTTCCCAGCTGGCTTCCAACCAGCAAAGTCAATGAGAGAAAGCAAGACTAACTTAACAACCATATGATTCTCTTGGCTAGATGTCCTCTTATTTTTCTTTTCTTACCTTTTATTTCTTTGATTTTTTTTTTATTTTGTGGTCCTGCTTTGTGTAATATTGCCAATACTGACAGGAAACATAAGAGCCTGTTTGTAGGTTATAGCATGTTCTAGATTAGCTATCTTTAAAAATATTTGAATGCAGCCTCTAGAGAGCATGTTACAGAGACCTTGTATCGCAACAGCTAAATTGGCTATTGATCAATTTCAAGACCAAGTTATCTGAAAAATCAGTTTGAGCCAACTGAAGTTTCAAGACCTCAGGAAAGGCCATATTTTGTATTACGTCAAATTTCTTAAGCAGATGTGGCAAGAAACTTTTTGGAGTTGCGTTTGGTCCCAAATATGATTTCTTCTACCAGCAAAACATTCATATTCAAGGAGGTATCACTAGTTGGTTTTCTTTGAATGGGAGTTTGGTTACAAATTTCACCATACTTAGGCTAAACTAATTTCTCACAAAAAGTGTAAAATCTAAGATCTCATAAGGCATCAATGCAGCTAACCAGTATGCAGAGACACAGCAGGAAATAGCTAGGAACCTATTTGGCCCATTTCCTGCCAACATGATAATGATCCAGATCTAAAGGTTGAGAAGACAGTATTATGATGGCCTGTAACATCTCTTTTTTCAGCTTTTTATTTGGGTATGACCCAGTTTCAAGGCCATAAACTTTGTTCCGAATGGTCAAGTGAAGACAATAGTTTTGCTGAAGCACCTAATATCACTGGGAGTCAGGCAGCATGTAATTAGATGATGATTGATTGATTGATTGTTTGATTGATTGATCGATGGTGGTGGTGGTGGTGGTGGTGAAATTCCACTCGCTGGCAGAATCCTCTAAGTTGACAACTGATCTAAAAAAGTGACACTGGAAACCTTAAAGCTGAGTGCTGACATTGGTAACCACAAAATATCAGTCAGATGGAGGACTTTCTTATCTGCTTCAACTGATAATAATTGATTGGCGGGGTCTAGGAAGAGAGCTTTCTGTGCCATTGCTCTTACATTGTGGAACAGCCTGTCTCCAAGATGAGGTGAAGAAAGACCCCAACTTGCTTACAGAAGACTCTGGACTCTTAAACTGTAAATGGGACTGAGGATACATTTATTATCTACAGTTTATTCTTCGTTCTCCATAGCAGAGTCAATTGTGGAACAAACTGCCACCGAATTTCATTAGAACTGTGGGGTTAAAAGCTTAATTAACAAAGACTTTCAATATTTTAAGGTTATGAGTGCTATAAACTACAATGAATTTTACTATCTTTACTAGTTTTATTGATGTGGTTTACCTGCCTTGCTTGTATTTTCTATTATTTTGTATTTTATTACTATCTACTTTGAACACTTTCTACCTGGTGGAAAGAAGGATATACAGGTTACCAGAAACATCATTTGTGCCTGAAAAATAAAGTGTTTGTGTTTATGTGTTTATGCACCAGCGCATGCTTGAGTGTGTGCATGCACACACACTCCAGCAATGTATGCTATGCTATGAATTTCCCTATCAAGTAGACAGTAAACAATTCTGAAATCAAGCTTTATACAGGGAACAGAAAAGCACTTAATAATTAATCATTCTCCCCAGCACAACCACATTGGTAACCTCTAGCACAATTTCAAGTGTATAAATGTAAAAAAAAATAAAACACTATCATAAAAGGAAAAGAAAGTGGGTTACCTAATGCCTTGAGGAGTTCTTCTCTAACTGCAGAGGTGAACTTTCTCACCAGGCACAGGGTTGTCATGATAGCAAAAAGAAGATTGTAGGACAATACTATGTAGAAGTTTCCTAACCAGTTAAACCTTCCAAAGTCTCCAAGGAGATCAAACCTGGTGATGCCTAATAAAGGGTGAGGGGAGAATATGTTCATAAAGTTTGTACAGATACTTAGGAATTTTAAAACCATCTAATACATTGCATATATACTCTTCACATAAAATTTGATAAAGCAAATTTAAACTTCAGATATTTATACTCTCTAATTTTTCCTTTTCATCACTATTTTAAATTGCACTTCAAAGATATTGTCTACTAAATTAGAAAATAAAACCCAATATCACAGCAATGTGTATATTTATTTCATAAAATTGAATGAGATAGTCCTCCATGCCAAGAAAGAGCATAAAGGAAAATATTGATAATCTGCATAGCTTATTATCTTCCAAAATTGTTAAAGATGACAATATTGTATTATCTTGTCAGATCTCTGATACAATAATGCTTATAAAGATTAATTCTGCACTCAAGTAAATGAAGAATAGTTTGATAAAAGGGAAATTTTCTTTCCCATTTATTCCCCTGGCCCGCCAAGAACACCTCAATATTCCTTTTACCATCCTGAAATGGACTATTTTAAGATTAAAGCTTCTATGAATCTGTTCAATTTCCTTTCATCTAGCCAATGTTACTGGACATAACTCCAAGGTGGCAAACATGCCCAATACTCCTTCTTCTTCCTATTTTCCGCACAACAACAACCGTCTGAAGTGAGTTGTGCTGAGAGAGAATAATTGGTCCAAAGTCACCCAGCTAATTTTCATGCTTAAGGTGGGACTAGATCTCACAAGGTTTTTAGTCTTGCACATTAATCACTAGACCAAACAGCTATTTTGATACATATTGACTGATCTGCAAAGCCGCACGTGACCCCTTGTACTCTATCATTTTATTTGATGTGTCTATGTACTTTGTTAATTCTGCTTTAACTACTTATCATTCCTGTTTTACTCCACTTTAGAACTTTAAAGCAAACAAACATTTACAGACTCAAAAAAAAGGTGGATATTTTGTTAGAACACTAATTTGTTTTGGGTAAGCAACGAATGCGCCTAGCATCAAATAAATAAACAAATGAATGTTTTGTACCATTAAACTGCATGAGAGTTATGTTTATTAAAAGAATTGCTGAAATGACCATGTCCTTCAGGAGAAGGGCGGTCTATAAATTTGATAATAAATAAATTTGATAATAAATTTGATAATAAATGTCTAAGACAACGTGGTCCCACTGAATAGAATTCCCACTGAACATGCCAACAATTTTAGCTATGAAACCAGAGTTATCTGGGAAATGTTTGCTTAAATTTGCATTTCCAACAAGGAAAAATTCTAGAAAAACTTTAAACAAATGAAAGTCAACTTCCCAAAAGGATGACATTTAACCAACATTCCATCTATGGAGTGATGGGAGTGATGGAAGTGATAGGTGAGGAGAAGTGAAAAAGCTCTCTTCATTCATAATGTTTAAAAGGCCAAAGAAGATAAAGAAGTTCAGACTGTACATTAATTAGCTTATCAAGCATCAACACATACTGTAAAGTTCAGAAACCGACTACAGATCAGTTTATCTATTCCAAGCAAATATTCCACTAACCAAATTTATAATTTAACCTGATTATACTTAATGTATAGAGGATATCCCCAGTGCCGCGTAATGGGGTGAGCTCCCATTACTTGTTCCAGCTTCTGCCAATCTAGCAGTTCAAAAGCACGTAAAAAATGCAAGCAGAAAAATAGGGACCACCTTTGGTGGGAAAGTAACAGCGTTCTGTGCGCTTTTGGTGTTTAGTCATGCCGGCCACATGACCACGGAGATGTCTTTGGACAGCGCTGGCTCTTTGGTTTTGAAATGGAGATGAGCACCACCCCCTACAGTCAGGAATGACTAGCACATATGTGCGAGGGGAACCTTTACCTTATATCACTGGATATAAGTGATACAGGATATCACTGTAGCTCAAGAAGTAGAACTATTGTTAATCAGAGTAAAGAGAGGATATGGCTAAGAGAAAATGCTTTTCACCAGGCTCTACTTAGGAACTTCAAGGAGATGAAGAAGGTTTAAACCTCCAACTGATAACCCAGAACTAGCCACTGCATCACTAAAAGTGATTTCAGGACAACTTTTGATATTTTGGTTGCCTAAATAGCTTTGGTTGCTTTGACCCTAACGATCCCCTTAATTCTGCTAGACCTCTATGTAGTTTTAAATCATTTTGATCAAAACAGCCTTCTATCCAAATTGGGAAATTGAGACACTGTAATCCAAAAGTTTAGCGACAAGTTTTAGGGAAGTTGCATAGTTCTGTGGCATTCTGTATATAAGACCTTCTCTACATAAGCCACCAAGTGAAATGGATTTACAATACAGATTCAACTTCACCAGCCTTTTTCATTTGATCAAGAATAGAACACTGAATCTTTATCTAGGTTTATAAAGGAATTGGCAGGAAAGAAAGGAAGGAAGGAAGGAAGGAAGGAAGGAAGGAAGGAAGGAAGGAAGGAAGGAAGGAAGGAAAAGAAAGAAAGAAAGAAAGAGAAAGAGAAAGAGAAAGAGAAAGAGAAAGAGAAAGAGAAAGAAAGAAAGAAAGAAAGAAAGAAAGAAAGAAAGAAAGAAAGAAAGAAAGAAAGAGGGAGGGAGGGAGGGAGGGAGGGAGGGAGGGAGGATGTTTACTGACAGATCAGAGATTGCTCTTTCCACTTCTCTGACAGACAGGACTGAGAATTTTCTTTTGCAGTCCCTAGGTGGCGCAAGAGAGCAGCCTTTCAGCTAGTTCAGGGACTGAGAAGAGATGCAGATATGAAAGACACTGTAGAGATGATTCTCTATTTAAAAACAACAAAAAATCTTCTTCTTTGCTAAAACAGGGAATATTCAGGCACTCATTTCACAGTAAGTCCAATGTTTTTTTCCCTACAATACATAGAGAATATCTTTAGCCAGCACTTATCACAGCAGTCCTCAATAGGGTGAGAACAGACTTATGAAGAAGTCACTATTTTGCTGAAGGACACATGTGGCAAACAAAACTTCAGTGGGGTCCAGCTTTTTAGTACTTCATCAAAGAAGAGACCGAAGACCAAGATACCACCATATGCATAACATCCAATAAGCATTCATAAAAAGGCAGCTGTAATTTCTGTGCTGCTATCAGAGCAGCAAGGTACGGGCTTTGCAGCTGTGGCTATGTAAATTTTTATTCACCTGGCAACATTAGTCAACGGAGTCTTGTTAGGGGTACATGAAGAGATAACTAATCAGCCCAGACCTTGGTTCTCTTGAGATAAAAATCTGATCATTTCTTGAATGGTTAGTCCAATTTGGATGGAAAACAACAATGAGACTAGGTATTTTAATCAATACATTAAAATACATCAAAAGATTTCAGTTTATGATTGAAATTTACTTGCAAAAAGTGTAATATTTGAGAAATTGACATCAATGTAAAGCAAAATTTCCCTCTTTCTCATCCAGTGGTCAAAGATGTAAAATAATGAAGAGAAGAATACAAAAAAGATTTTAAAAAATAAGTAAAGGAAGAATAGTTGAGAGCTCCAGAAGCAACAAGTTTTCCAGAAATAAACTAAATCTGTCTCAGATGTTTTTCTCTATAGTGGATAAGGGGTTATAGAAATGAATTTTTTTGTCTTGTCTGCTAGTGCCCCTAAAAGTATGTTCCAACTATAGCACAAAAACCTTGCTATTTTCCAAGTGCTGTTTTCTTATGCTTTTACTTCCTACTTTATTGCTGATATTTTGTTCAGCACAAAAAAATAACGTAAATTTTACTAAAAACTTAAGAAGACTTCCATGAATCTGTAGGATTTCAGTTTTCGACAAGGGGAGACACCAATATAGCTAATATTTAACAAAATAACAATTTAACCCAAACACTTTCAGAAAACCTTGACAGGAAACAAAACTATAATTCAGAGATAACAATAATGCTTATTACCCCACTGTTCTGAAGTCATATACAAATGACTTATACGCCCAAGAGAGAACTAAAAGGTTTTGAAATATGTTGTGACCCACTCAAAGAAGCAGTGCTCATCTCTGATTCTCAGCCAAGGGAGCCTGCATTGTCCGAGAGATGTTTCCGTCATCATGTAGCCAACACGAAAGTACGGAACACAGTAACCTTCCCGCCAAAGCGGGAGTATTTATCTACTCGCATTTGCCTGCTTTCATAGTACTAGTTGGCAGGAGCTGCAGTGAGTAACAGGAGTTCATCCTGTAGCATAGCATTTGAGTGTCAAACCCGGCTTAACCGTTCAGCCTTCGCGTTCCACAAGTCAGAACTAACATTCATGTTTATCCACTCATACTTTAATACCCTAACCACACGGCCAAATTAATTTGCCACTAGTTCAATGGACTTATCAGGACCAAGATCAGAAAACTTCACTGTCCATATATCTGTAACTCCATGGTGATAGTTTCATATACTTAAATTACTGAGTCTGAATTTTTTTTTTTAGAAACTGCAACCCCTTCAGCATTAGCATTTTGTTTTCTAAAAGTGTAGCTGAACTTTCTTTAAAAGGGATGTTTAAATTTGTTCAAGACTCTGTAAAAACTGATTTTAAACTTACCCAGTGTTCTTGACATAACTGGCAATGCTGAACTGAGGACTAAGATAGATACACAATTCCCAATTATCTGTTGAGACAAAAAAGATATTATTTCAGTTAAAACAAATGACGTTTCTAATTGCCAAATAACAATGGCAATGTTTAACTGAAGCATATAAAGCAATACTTTATCTCATTCTGCCCACCATCAAATCCTCAGCCCCCCTGGCTTATGCAGCATTCTACTAGTAATATTGTAAAACTAGGTTTATCAACTTTTCTAAAAATTCACAAAAGGATTAACAACTTTTATTTTATTTATCAAATTTATTGGCTGCCCAATTTATTACAAGGTAACTCTGGGTGGCTTACAATATTAAAAGATAAAATGATCTAAATACTACAAAAATATAATAATATAAAATGCAATACCTAAGACATGGGAGGGAGAGAGTGGGGTGAGCAGGAGGGAGGTGGGATATGATATTAATCTATCAACCACCTCCAACATGAAGCCCCTCCTTTGGAGCCTCAAGCCAACTATCAGAGCCAGGTGTTTAGGCTCTTACGGAAGGTCAGGAGTGTTGGCGTGGACATTTGAGGGGGACAAGAAGTTCCAGAGGGCAGGCACAACAGCAGAGAAGGCCCTTTTCCTGGACCCTGCCAGCCAGAATTCCCTGGCTGATGGAGTCCCCAGCAGGCCTCCTCTGCCATCACAGGTGGGGTGAGCCAATCCCAGTGGGATGAGACAGATGAGACAATCTTGGCTTTACAGTGAAAGAGCCAGTGGCCGTTGTGACCAGGAAGGCAATTGCACACCTTCATATGGGGCACCAGTTGTATGTATATTCCCAATGGAGAAACGCTTTAGATGGCTGCTTACGTCCTAGTCACTTCACAATTGGATTATTACAATGTCCAATCTACATGGTGCTGCCCGTAAAGACCTTGCATAGAATGCAGCAGCACAAAAAATGATGGGCATGACTTGATATACTCATGTGACATGAGTTCACTGCTTCACAAGTAGACAGTTTGGTAATAAGCATCTGGGTGTCAACTGTAAAGCCCTATGTGGCATAGGGTCAGGTAGTTTGAGGGATCTCCTCATCTCCATGATTTCTGCCCATCAGAGAAGAGCTGGCAGCCACTGGATACATTTGCTTAAGCATCAACATCTGTAAAGATTCAAGAAGCTTGTCTTCTCTGTCACAACACTTGACCTCTGGAATTATTTCAGAGAGCAGCCATTTAGCTCCAACTCTGATGAGGTTTCAAAGGTTTTTTGTTTTTTTAAAAACTAGCTATTCTCGCAGATCTTGAGGTATTTATGACGCCCTGGATAGGGTGGTTGTAGTGCAGATTGTCGGGACACTTAACAGGATTTATTTTAATTGTTTTGCTATTTTAAGCATAGGCTGTCTACATTCATTCTGGAATCAGTCAGTTTCTAAATCTTTAGCCAGTATATGAACCGAAATTTTGCTACTTACATTAACAAATTCCTCAAATTGCTTATATTGGTTGTCATGCAAGATCTAAGGGTTGCCTTTAAAACGTTTAAGCAGATTCTAAATAAACTCTGAGCAAATGAAAATCAGAGGATCTAAAATACACCAAGCAAAGCACTGAAACCAAGCTACAAGATACTTCCTGCCTGCAAGCACTATGTCTAACACACAAACATCACTCCATCTCTCACTTGCATGTTCAAAACTAAGCAGGCAAGTATAAATTAATAATGTTCATAGATACAGATTGAATTTAGGGCTCCAGTTTTTAAAACTGAGTGTACAGCTGCCCTTACCTGGCCTCTAACCCAAATTTGTGTTTGTGCAAGTGCTTATGTAAGAAACATTACATTAATATAATGATGGAGAATAAGGAAGACAGGCAGGTCCCTGCTGTAGCCAAGCAGTAATTTACCAACTGCTCTTGTTTTCAAAAGTGCAATCTTGAGGCTGTTAAAAGAATGTGTTGCCTTAAAGGATGTAAAGAATTACAATAAACAAACAGGAGCTGATGTAGCATTATTCTTTCGAAGAATCAGAAAATGCTGAGATCTCTCTTCAAGAGAAGTTCTAAATATAAAGAAGTTGAAAAATGGTAATATGTGACTTACCATTTCTCTTTTTCAAAATGCTGATTATAAAAGGGCCGAGCAAACATAATGGCACTGCTCAACTGGTTTAATCAAGGGCCTTCTGTACGGTTGTTTACTTTCCCATTTCTGAGAATTCCTGGAAAGATTAAAGCAAATCTCACCCTCCCCCCTACTTCGAATGCCTTTTTAAACAGGAAAAAAAAATAAGAGGAAAAGAAATTGGCTCCTATTCATCTTGTTTGTAATGTTCCCCTATTTATGAAAACCTACTTTTAAGATCCCTCTTTTTAATATGTATGCAACTGTTGGTTGCCAATTGTATAAGTTCCTGAAAGTCAAAGCAGCCTCAGATTGAGAATTGCTGATTAGAATCACTTAAATCGTTCAAATTAAAGGAATCTATTGATATTATTTGTAGTAACTAAGAGGGTCACATATACACACACACACACACACGCACACACACACACACACATACACATATACACCGACTGCAATTTCAGGCCTTTTCCAAGGCCTGCAATCCAACCGATTCCAAGCCACCCCAAGTAAGCAAAAAATTTGTTGATGAAAGTTTAAACAACTAATTACTGTTCAGAATGCAATTACTCTCTAATAGAATCAGGTTTGCTTTCGTAGAAGAAATGGAAAAAGAGGGAGAAGAAAATGGGGATCTCAGGCTTTTTCACCCACCTTTGTCATAGTTGTGTCATCCTTCCTGGGGGTAAAATCTCCAAAAATACGTAGGCTATAAAAGCCAACAACAGAGGAAACCATAAGATAGCTGTGAGAATTAAAGAAAAAAAAAAGAATTCCTAAAGAATGCAAGTTTCAGAGTCCTAAAGGTCTTTTAAGCCTGGCAAAGTATGCAGGAGGAGGGGGAAAAGAGAAAGAACATCCACTTTGAGTGCCTGGGAATAGCTGGCCTATTGTTTTCTCTCTACTAAGCAGGCATCTTAGTAAATTAGCAGCCTCCCAGAAAATTAGACAGAATACTTGTTAACAGACAAGCACGCCTCATGAAAGAAAGGATACAAAATCAAAATGATCTCAAGTGCTGCTCCCACGAAACCAAATGTGGACAGAGAGGCACTTCCTATGCCAGGCCCCTGCAAGAATTTAAAAAAAAAGGGGGGGTATTAGACAGAGGATGCCATTCTTTTACTTATTTTTTTTAAGACTGAATGACCTCGGACAATTCAATTGTGTATTTTTTTTTTATTAGCTAATATTGAGGCAGTAATAATCTCCACAAGCTTCAGCATTAGAAATGGGATTTCATCTAAAGAAGCTATATCAGAATACAGTTTTAGGAGGATTCGAAACAAATACAAAAATTCAAATAATTTGATGATTAAAAATGCTGTAAAGAAACTAGAGAAATTTTAAAAGCGGTTCCCTTAATTAGATACTAGAATCCTGCCACAAATGCTTTGTGGCAGGATTTTAGTAACTAATTATGTCCAAAAGGTGCTTTTTCAAGAGGCAACTGGACTTTCTGAAGAAGCTTCTTGGATGAGAAGCGAAATGTCTTCAAAGAAAAAACAGAAAGTCCAGTTGCCTCTTGAAAAAGCACATTTGGGACAACTATGACCTGGATGACTGAGAAACTCCATAGACAGGTACCTAATTATATTCCGTTTTTGTTTGTTCGTTTTCATCAATCTTGACTCTGGCAACAGCCTGGCAAGTCCATGCAATTTTCTTTGCAAAGATTGACAGAATGTTTTGTCACTGCCTGTTTCCCAGAGCTGAGAGAGAGTGAATGGCTTAAGAGTGGCCCAAGTGCCTTCTATCCCTAAAGATGGACTAGAACTCACATTTTTCTCGTTTCCAGTCTAAGTTTAACCAAAACACCAAAATAGTGTTTGCATTTGTAGATTTAATTCTTTTAAAGGTTTTCAGGGTGCAAATCTGCAAATCTGCTCACTCACAACTAAATTTCTTTGGAGAAATGTATGGTAAACTAGATTGTGTGATCAAATTTGCCATTAGTGATATTGCAAAAGGAAAAAACTTTACCCTTGACCCCTTCGGCATTGCGGTTTCATCAACCAAGAGACACAGAATATTGCAAGCAACTAAGAGCACTGAGATTGCCTGAAAAAGAAGAAGCAGAAAATCCAAGCATGAGTGCAGGCTTGTGCAAAAACCATTTGCTCCATTTTGCAGCAATTGGCTTGAACACTCCTGAGATTTAACAAAAACAGTAAAAGAGACAAACTGCAATTCCTTTTTTTTTTTTTTTAATGATACTCAATTCAGACACGTGCCTGGAATAAATTACTATCTTCAAGAGGCCAGGTGGGTCTTATGCAATGTAAAGAAATTAGAGCTTACCGTTTCAATTAGCAGTAGTATCATTACAGCTGGATACACAAGGTTCCTTTCCCATGCAGAAGCCTTTTTCCGTCGCTCTTTAAACAGAAGAAAATGTTATGGTGGCTTGAGACAAATACATACAATCCTTTTAAAATTAGAAGCTCTGTAGCCATAATCTTAGCCAAACAACCAAAAGCAGTCCAAGCATTCTGTGAGATGGACCACTAAAACGTCAAAAGCAAATGTACTTATGTACTTTCAACTCAAACATCCTATCCTGCCAGCACCAGATCCTCTACTACACACTACAGTCTTCCCACCGTAAGTAGTAAAGCCACATTTCTCAACCTTGGTGACTTTAAGATATGTGGACTTCAACTCTCAGAATCCCCCAGTCAGTCATACTGGCTAGGGAATTCTGGGAGTTGAAAGCCACATGTTTTAAAGTTGCCCAGGTTGAAAAGCACTCTGGTAAAGGCTTAAATAAACCATTCTGAAAGAATCTGTTCCCCAAAGTAGAGTAAGGTTCTTCTTTTAAATAAGGGAATAGGGTTCCAATAATAAGGTTCCACTAATTTTTTTTTTTAAAAGTATGAGCACTTTAAATGGAACCTCTTTCAAAGAACTAATCCCCTGGACTTTAATCAAAAATGGAATACTTCAGCAAAAGACAAGACACCTTCAATTTCTTCTAATCTGACTTAAATTATTTTATTTACAAATGGAGGTAAGTAGTAGCAGAAAGACAGTATGAAGAAAGTCCCAAAGATGCTTTTTCAAGAGGCAACTGGACTTTTTGGTTTTTCTTTGAAGAGATTTTCACTTCTCATCCAAGAAGCTTCTTCAGCTCTGACTGGATGGTGGGAAATGGAATGGATGAGAAGCGAAATGTCTTCAAAGAAAAACCTGAAAGTCCAGTTGCCTCTTGAAAAAGCACCTTTGGGACAACCATGACCCTGGATGAGTGAGAATCTCCATAGACAGCATGAAGAAAGCAAACAGCCCAACAGCATTTATTTTTTAATATACCTTTTCATAAGAATTCTTCCTTGCAAAATCAGCTAAAAACTGAGTTGCCTCGAACCGCAAGATAGGTACCAAATGGAATTTAATAATAGTAAAAATGTAATAAAAAAATTAAACAACACTTTAGTACAAATATGAATAGAATACAAAGTCAATTAAGAACATCTCTTGGCAGGCGCCAATTATAAGATGAGGTGGCTACTAATGTATGAAAGATAAGCTTATAGGAAACTACTAGCATCAGAAGCATCATGTTTCTAAATTCCAGATTGTAGGAGAAAAGCGACCAAAACAGAAGCCTTCCCCTGATGTCTGTGGCAGTCTCAATGTCTTCTATAGTCTAATATGAGACATAGGATGCCTGCTTACACAGCTCTTTGATGTGCCATGGGCTCTTCCTATAATTTTAATCTGGTTTTACACAGGTTCCATTACTATGAACAGCATGGTGGCTCAGTGGTTAAGACACTGGGCTTGTCAGCTGTAAAGTCAGCAGCCCATGTTCGAGACTCGAGCACTATGCGATGGTCAGCTCCCGTCCTCACTCCAGCTCCTGCCAACCTAGCAGCTCAAAAACATACAAATGAAAGTAGATAAATAGATATCTCTTTGGTGGGAAGGTAACAACGCTCCGTGACATCACGCTGACTACATGACTGTGGAAAGGTCTTCAGATAGTGCTGACTCAATGGCCTTCAAACAGAGATGAGCACTGCCCCCATAGTTGGCAACGACTAGCGCAGTAAAATCTGCAGGGATTCCTTTACCTTTCCTCATTACTGTTAGAAACGATGCCGATTTAAAAAATAAATAAATAAGGAAACAGTATACAAAGTAAGAATAATATATTGGTGTAAAGAGCATGGAAATGTCTTTGGAGAAGGAATCCAGTGGCCATTAGAGGAAAAAAGTCCCTATCCCCTCAGGTACAAGAGGAGACACAGATTTGCAAGACTTTGTTAATGTAGCAAAGTTCTAATCTTCTTGTGGAATCTGTTTCCAGATCTGGTCCACCTTGAAGGGTTGACATTCTGGAATGTCTTAAGTATTACACTAAAATGATCCCACCCCCGCCCCCCAATATATGCCTAAAGTATTTTTTGTAAGAACAGCAGATAATATTTTTTCTGATATTTTCAAAAATAAAAGAAGTTTTACTCCAAGCTAAAGCACAGTAGATACCAAACCCCCCAAAAATGAAGCAATTACCTAATTTTGTTTTCATGCTCTTCACATTATTCAACTCCTGCTCAAGTTGTTTTGTATTATACTCCACTGCGGAAAATCCTCCTGTGCCAAAACAAAAATACCTCTATTAAAATATTCCATCAATAGGACACAACCATTTTGCTAACTACAAGAGAAAAAACAGATTAAGGTAAGGAAAATGTCCCTGTAAAGTATAAATCTTGTGCTCACACCCCCATTACAATACAGTTTCTTAGATGAAACAAAGTTATGGGCTAAAGGAAGTGGTTTTGATATGTGGGGACAAACAGACAAAGAAGCAAAATTCATTTAATAATAATAAAAAAAAGAACTGGGGCAGACTGTCTGGCAGCCATTTAGCTATTTCTAAAGTACCAGAAGGTGTGGCCCAGTAGTTTTTTGCTTAAAATTTTGCTTAAAAAATCCTGACAAAAAAAGTTTGAGACTTCCTTGAAACCTCAAACAATCCTAAACAAAATTCACTTTTCACTATGGTAACTAAATTCATTCTTTTATATATCCAAATATTTGGATGCTCAACTGTGAGCCTCTGCCTTAAATTTACATATTCACCATTTATATGGGAAATGCATCAGATTCTTAATATTCATCTTAACTTTAAAAAAAATTATAACCCTTACAACATCCACCACCACCACCACCCAAAAAAAATGATAGCAGCATAGAACTAATCCTGGTAAATTTCCAAGGAATGAGGCAACATTTTAGAGCAATCAAATCACATCTCTGGAAGACGGAGCAAACTATTGAATGCAAGCTATTCAAAGCACCATGGGCTCTCAACTTTATTTCAAACAAGCTCAAAAGTTTAATGACTGCATTGTCTGGCCAATAAATCAAACTGGTAGACAGAACTTGTTCAGACTAGTCATGAAAAATTAGAAGGGATTCTCCAAGAAAACCACAAAGCAGCTCATTTAAGGTCAATTTAACAGTATTATTTTGTTTTTTCTTCGGTCCCAACATAATATTTCAGTACCTCAAAGGAAATTGTAGGAGTATCTATTTGCATTCCCTGTAGGTGATTGGCAGTTCAACTCCAATTAGTTCAAAATTACACTGTTACTAGTGTGCAATAAAAACAACACCTTTCATCTTTCTTACATAGGTTAGAATACCTTCAGAGCTAATAACTTTGATCAAATAAGAATTTTTGATCCTGCTCCACCCGTCTCCTGGGATTCAGGAAAACTAATAGCTAAAAGCAACTTTTCCTTTTTAATATAAAGAAAGTTTGAGCTTTATTCTTTTTGTGCACAAATGACGTGGGTATTGAAATACAATACGGAAGAAACACATTTTCTCTCCGATTTCTTCAATAACAAAACAATTTATGCAGACTAACCACTGCAGGGATAATTTTTCTTCCCCAAACTTCCTGTGCCAATAAAATTATATGAAATTTGAAGTTCAAAAGTACACACTTTCCTAATTCCTTATACTATGTTTAAAAAGTGAAAATTTTAAAACATACAATTAATTATAATTCAGGATTCTGCAGTTTGATTCCTATTAACACAATATTGAATTAGACTGGATTCTAATTTACTGGCTAGAAAACTATTAAAATTACTTCCAACATTCCTTCTACTTCTCAAGGAGAGGGTACTGCAAGCCTTTATTTATAGTATAATCTGAGTTTCTGCCAAAGTATGATTTAACATCTCTGATATGTTCTCAGTTTGATCTTATACAGTTTTTTAATTCTTTTTTTTTTAATTCCTAGGATGTATAAACAAAAGATATTATACCTTATGGTATCAATCTGCATAAACTGTGGTTTCCAGAGCACCTCAAAAGTTGTCACAGAATCATTTTAAACTTTATCAAAGGATCAAATGTTAAAATGCATGAAAAATGAATAACTTTTTACCATTTGCCGAATTCTGCTTTTAGCTTAGTCAAAAAGAATGATTTAAATGCATATAAGCAAGTTACAGAGCAAACCTTTTCATAATGTATTATGATTCAATATTGCATTTATTTTCCACTAGGACTTGCAAAAAGTCCTAGTAAAAGATAACATATGACTAGCATTATTTATAATTTCTGTATAATTTTGTTTCTTGTGTTAATTTGCTATTCATTACGGTATTGGTTTATAATGGTTTGGAATACTTAATTATAAAAGAACTGATATAATACAATACTCCTGGGCCACAATTAGTCATTCCACAGATGCTGAAAAGGAGAATATTCTTTCTTATTTATTAATTTATCTGGAATCCCACATTTATTACTTTATAAGTAACTCAAGGTGGTCAACATAATCGAAGACACCTCCTATGATGAACGCATCTTTTCTCTTATGTACATTGAGAGCATCTGCACCAAAGACAAATTCCTTGTGTGTCCAATCACACTTGGCCAATAAAGAATTCTATTCTATTCTATTCTATTCTATTCTATTCTATTCTATTCTATTCTTCACAAGAAGAAACCTGTGAGGTGAGTTGGGCTGAGAGAGAGACAGGCCCAAGCGGGCTTTCATGGCTAAAGTGGGAATAGAACTCACATTCTCCTAATTTTTAGGCCAGCGCCTTCACCACCATACCAAACTGGCTCCAAACTTATACCAAACTTGGTGTTTAGGATTTCTGAAACTAATATCCTCTGTAAATGTTGGAACACAACTCCCATCATACCTAAATGTAATAATATAGCATAGTATATAGTATATAGTTTAATACAGGCTGTATTAAACATACTTACCATTTAACCTTCTCATTATAGCTTCTTCTTCTAGAGTAATAATATATATCTGCTCATCCAAGTCTTCAAGAATCTATGTTCAGATATACAGATAACATATCAGATAAAATATTTGCAAATTGCATACAATTTACTATGAATAAGAGAGAAAAAGAACTAGAGTCTTTAAAAAAAATAACTGTATATATAGGTACATAAGATCAATGTGAATTGATCTTCATTTATCTAAAATTTCAAGCTTCCCTGTTTAAACAGGGATCATTCAAAGTTGAAACAATCCAACTAAACAGGAAGGATTTTTTTTAAAACCACTTTGCTGAAATACCTGCAATTTCACTCTGTATATTGCCTAAACTGGGCCACAAAAGCAATAGGTGAGTGTGCAAATTTTCATTCGTGCATGCCCAGGAGCTGGTTTTGCACATGCAAAACCATCTCCTCCACCCCTCCACTGCCGACATCGCCACTGCCAGTCCATGGAGCTCAGTAGTGGGTTTCAATTTCGGCCGCTATTGGTTCACTCGTAGGCGTTCGGGGGGGCGGAGCCTCCTCCCACCGCCGCTACCAGTTCGCCCGATCTGGGGCAAACCGGTAGCAACCCACCACTGGGACACTGACCTAAAGGACTTACGGCCACATGTTAGATAATAATTCAACATTAACTGTACTTACTGTTGGCTTTACAAGCAATTGTCCCATCACTGTAAACATACGGGAAAGTCCTACTGGTGTACAAACTGTAGACAAACACACATATTATCTATCATCTTTGATTCATTATCCAAAATTACAAGTTTTTTTTTAAAAAAAGCTAAATACCTCAGATCTTCTTGAAGAAGTTGAATTAGTATGTTAAATACACAGCTATAATTAGGATTAAGCCTTATACTTTACATCTAATTTACATTTTTACCAAACCAATAAACTGTCTAATAGCATATTCTATAAAATAGTTCCAGGAAAAAGATAAAATGGTAGATTAAACTGTTATTGTATATTAGTAAATAATAAGATGAAGGCAGTTTCCTCTGTGGTGGGACAAATAAATTCGGCTCAGTTTTCAAATGCAAAAAATTAGTACCAAAGAAGCTCAGTTCACATTAGCTTGATGATACAACTAACTTCATTTGTTTATTAAACTTTTAATCTTCTTGAACATGGAAGGATCCATTTTAAATTCACCATGCAATGTTTGCAACAGTAATTAAATCAGTTGATATGCAACATCAGGTCAGTTCCCTGGATTTTTAATTAAAAAATACCTCACGAAACTACTGTTGTAATATATTAATCAGTATTCAACTGGGGCGGGGGGGTAGATAATACATGTATGTTTTTTAATACACTTTTCTAAATATCTTGTTTGTTTTGTGTTTTTGTCTTTTTTTTAAGAAAAAAATTAAAGTTTTGTATTTGAAGTTTTATTTTATTTGAATAAAAATATTTCAATAAAATAAAAATAGAAAAAAGTACCCCACAAAAATATAACATGAAAAATCTTGGAGATTTTAAACATCTCATATCTCAAAGCTCAAAAGTATATAGAACCATAGAAAATTGACAATAGAAAAAGACCTAGTTGTCCATCAAGTCTGCCCTTTGAGGATTTTTAAATTTTATTTTATTCAATTTTTTCCAAATGATGGACCTGGGCAAGTTCACTCTATCAAACTTATAATTCTTCAGTGTTCATTTTGCAGACATATCTAAAGTGCTCTTCTTTTCCTTGTACTGAAAATGTTGTTACTTTGCACAGATCAAACTTATGTCCATTTATTAATCCTGCCATATTATAAGAAGTTACTGTTATTGTGATGTAGTATGTAAAGTCCATCTGGAGTTGATAACTTACAAGAGACAATTCCCATATTTCTATGTATTCACTGTTGTAAACTAAAATCGTTTATTATTAGTTTGTCATTATAGATTTCATGCTTTTTGTAGTTTGGGTATTAAGTCTGATTTTTTCTATTCTGGCCTAAGTATTATACACTGACCTAACTATGTTACATTTTGTTGTCTAATGCTTAATACACATATGACTAAAAAAATGGAAAGAGATGGGAATGGATAGACTTGAGAAGAGGGGATTGAGAGAGGGGATAAACTGTTTTCCAAAACCTAAAATTATGCTACAGCATTTCTTAAATTTTTTCTTCTCATGACTCTTTCCTACTTTTAAACCCTATGGAGAACTTCCAAAGAGTTTTTGTTTATATGTATTGTATTTATTGAGACTCACCATTTTAAATTTTAAAATTGATTCATTCACAGAAACCTGTTGAATCATGTAAAAATAACGATTAAATAGATATTAACATGAATATTGTCCATGAAAAAAACCCTATATGTTTTTTTAACAAATAAAATATAATAATGAGAAGAGACATTGTTTTATATCTTTGCAAATATATTCAATATACGGCAAATAATTTTGACTTTGCAGGACTCTGAGGGTGTCTCAGGCCATATTTTAAGAAACACTGCTACAGAGATTTAAAATCTATTTTTTCTTGTTCCAGAGGACAGGATAATGGATTTAAGCTACACAAAGAGACATTCCAAATAATTTCTACAATATATATGAATGGTTACCAGTGGTTCAGAATTGGAACCAATGACCCAGTGAAATGTTAGGCTTCACTTTACTAGAGGCCTTCAGCTGGAGGCTACATAGGCATTTGTCTGAGGTGATTTATATTGCTTTCTTTATTGTTTAGGATTTCATTATTACTGGTCCAGCATACATTTGGGCAGAACAGAATTTTAAATATTACTCCTACTTTTTATTTGATTTATTTGTTACTTATTTATGGCTTCATTTAGGTTTTTTTAAGCAACTTTACTGTGGGGTGTGTGTGTGTGTGTGTGTGTGTGTGTGTGTGTGTGTGTGTGTAATTTATTTTATGATTGATTGTTAGCTACCAAGTTTATCATTATGGCCTGAAGGAAGGATATGAGTGTTTAAACTCACCATGAATCATACGAAGCTAGGTGAATTATTAGCTGCTTCACACCATTATGTTCCAAGGAATTTTTGAAACCCTGGAAGTAATGAGTTAACTATTTTAAATATAAGTATTTTTATCAGTGACAGCTAAAGCAATACATTTTAGAAAACCCAGGTTTTACAGACTAAGCCAAATACTTAGAAATATGGCAGTTCCTGTGAAGAGTCTCGCTTTGAAATCTTAAAACAGCCGCATCCTTAGAAGACCGTTTCAACTGTCTCAAAAGCTTCCCCTGGCAATCCACATGCATCTGCACCTTGACCAACTTGTATGCACAGCCACCAACAAAATGGCTGTGCACGCAAACAGACATGCAAATAACTAGGAGATGTCTTCAAACCAGTTAATTCTACCAAAGGACAGAGTTTTTTTCAGAAAGTTGTAGAGATATGTTTTCATTATACTAATCTTTAAAAAGTGCTTCTTTCAAATGCTTTGCGCGTGGCTAAGGCTGAATACAGGATATTCACATAGAAAATAGCAAGTGTCTGACACCTGCATTGGAAGGTCAAAAAGCCTTATTAAATATTATTTCTAATATATGTATGGAAAACTTACGTAGAAGTAATAAACACCCCATCAAAGATATACAGGAATATAAATAAGGGAGGTAGAATTCCCAAAGATCTGAAATTAAAGAATACTTTATTTAGTACATTACTTCATCCACTCTACATGAAAGTATGAAAAAGAATGTTTTCGTCTACTCTATTACTGGCCTCAAATATGCAACAACATTCTTGTTCATAAAAATATAATTGATTAAAGGCAATCACTTGTCACTTCAAATGATTTTTTTTTTTTAAATCAGAAAACGAATCTCTCTGAGAAACATGTATCATCCAGAAGATCCAATCTCAACTTGTGGCCAAAACCAAAACACTTTCTCTTGTCTTCAACTGGATTACAACCTTTTCATTAGTATTTCCTACATTTTTCGATTTATGATATTTTCGGTTCTGAGATTAAGAAACAAATAGTCACAATAGTCACTGTTATCCCTTGCAGCAGTTAGTTCAAATCCAATCCCAAGTGAAACGTAAGATGGGAAGAAATAACAATGTTTAAAAAGTTTAGAATTTAAGTTAACCCATAAAAAAACCAGATCTGTTTTGTCTAATGGCCACTCGGTTACCTTTCTTTAGAAAAGCAGAACATGGAAAGTATTTTCTTACCGTATAAGGACTCCATACTTGCAGCATCATTGTCTATGAGAGCTGAAGCTACCCATACAATTCCAAGAATAAGCAACGCAAGGAGAATGAGCATAACAAGGGTTTCCAAAATACGTGCTTTGATTCCCTATTTTTTTAAAAAATGCACATAGTAAACAAGAAATAGACACAAATATAGATATATGACATATTGATGCTCACTTTAAATGTGCAACTAAACCAAAATTGAAATACCTTGGAGAAAAAAATATTTTACAATCCTTAGTAAGTATCATCTGTACTATTTTTATTTATTTTCATTGAAGTTAATCATATTATCCTTTAAATCATAAATCCTTAAGATTTATATTGACTGTTTCCCTATGACTATCATTAAGTGTTGTACCTTATGAATGTATCTTTTCTTTCATGTACTCCGAGAGCGTATGCACCAAAACAAATTCCTTGTGTGTCCAATCACACTTGGCCAATAAAGAATTCTATTCTATTCTATTCTATGTTAGTTTCGCAAAGGCTTTTTTTATTAAGACATTCAATTTGATAGCTATATCAGCAAGCAATAATTTGAATTTCAAACAAATAATAATAGTAAAGATTTGTTTCCTATCACAGCAAACTACTCTGAGAATTAATATGTACATTATGACAACTTCATTTACAAATTTTCTTACAACAATGCTTAAAAAAACATTATCTGCTCCGTATAATAGCATCAAGCAAAAAGCCATTATAAAATCTAAAAAACAAGTTTAAAAAAAATCACCCAAATAACTTCAATTTCTATTCCCACTGTACTTTAGCACATGTGCATAAATGATGCCAATGTAACACTGCTCCTAGTTCTGGATGGTTGAAGAGATGTGTTGTTTTAGAGCACTGTTTCTCAACCTTGGCAACTTGAAGTCCACTCATCTTCAAGTTGCCAAAGTTGAGAAACACTGTTATAGAGCAAAAGACAACCAACTCACCTCAGAACTCCCAGTCCAAAGTTTATGATACCAAGATGGTAACAGAAGGGCTCAAAATCAACATGTTAAGTACAGGTGGTCTTCAAATTACGACCATAATTTATAGCAAGAGCAGGAGTACTTAGACTTATATACCGCTTTACAGTGCTTTACAGCCCTCTATAAGCAGTTTTACAGAGTCAGCCTATTGCCCCCAACAATCTGGGTCCTCATTTTACCCACCTCGGAAGGATGGAAGGCTGAGTCAATCTTGAAACTGATTGGCTTTGAGCCTGGTGAGATTCGAACTGCCAAATTGCAGGCAGCCGGCAGGCAGCAGAAGTAGCCTGCAGTACTGCATTCTAACCGCTCTGCCACCATGGTTCAAATTTATGTTGCTAACTGCAACATTTGTTAAATGAGTTTTGCCCCATTATATGACTTTTCTTGCCACAGTTAAGTGAATCATTGCATTTGTTAAGTTAATAACACAGTTCTTAAATTAATCTGGATTCCCCATTGATTTTGCTTGTCAGAAGGTCGCAAAAGTGGATCACATGACCCTGGTACACTGCAACAGTCATAAATATGAACCATAAATATGCCAAGCAACTGATCATGTGACCTTGGGGAATGCTGCAATGGTCACAAGTGTGAAAAATGGTCATAAGTCACTGTTTTCAGTGCTATTCTAACTTTGAATGGTCACTAAATGAATTGTTGTAAGTCAAAGACTACCTGTACCATAATTTAAAATCAAGAACAGTGCCTATACTGAAATTACTAACATTATATATTTGCTGTCCATGACTCAAGTAATACAAAAGATTTTGGAGACAGTTTACAATCGAGGACAGTGTTTCCAGGCAGCCACCAATGAGAATTAACCAAAATTGTCACAATTATGAAGCAATTTACCCCGAAAATAAGACTTATCCCGAAAATAAAACCTACCTTGATTTTTACATATGCCCAATATAAGCCCTACCTCCCAAAATAAGCCCTAGTTAAGACACACCCCCGCCCACTCCATTGCACCTGGTTACATGAGGTGGGGCGAGGTGCAGGGATAACAATCAAGCTAGGGTGGGGATGGTGGGGATGGAGTTGCCCTACATGCCCCACACCCCCTTACCTTAGGACAGTTGCAGCTAGGCTTCCCACACCCCGACACCTGCTTCACCCTACCAGCCCACTTCTTTGTGTGGCTGCTTGCCGCCGTTTGCACACGGCACTCCCCGATCTCCATTTCACCATCAGAGGCCTTTCTGAAGGCCTCTGACGGCAAAACAGAGGCCAGGGGGCACCGCACACATCAATCCGGAGCTCATTTCTCGGCTGCAGAGGCCTCTGACAGTGAAACTGAGTCCAGGGGATGCTGCACATGAGCGGCAGCAAGTAATTGCAAAAGAAGTGGGCTGGCAGCTGCTGTAAAGTGAGACAGTGGAAGACATCCCCCAAAAACAAGACCTAATGTCTCTTTTGGAGGGGAAAAAGGAATAAGACAGAGTTTTATTTTCCAGGAAACACAGTATCAGGATTTAAAATGTATTTTTGCATATTGTGAAGTAGCCTTGCCACTAAGTTGGTTAACATGCTATTTTAATTTTATGCACCGTGCTTTCATAAATGTATCTGTTCAACAACAGTCTGTCACTTGCATATTAAAATATAAGGCCAACCAGTTTCAAGGTTGACTCAGCCTTCCATCCTTCCGAGGTCAGTAAAATGAGGACCTAGATTGTTGGGGGCAATATGCTGACTCTGTAAACCGCTTAGAGAGGGCTGTAAAACACTGTGAAGCGGTATATAAGTCTAAGTGCTATTGCTATTTCTATTTTTAAACAAAAAATATCTTGAGAATTCAATGCAGAAAATATACTAGTGATAGGGTTAGTTGACATATAGCACCTGGTGAAATATTGCTGTATCTTTTTGTAACAACCCCTTCATGAAAGAAATAAAAATCAATCCTATTGGCAAGGATAAAGGATAGATAAGAAAATATATCTGAAGACTTCCCATTCATATCTCCTGCTGCTTTTGTTATGATTAGTGCTTTAACAGTATAGAGAATTTGAGTCCACATTAGATTTCTCCCAGATTTTTTTCAGATTAGTTGCCAAATGATTTCTTGATTTCTTGATGTAACTGCAAACTGCTACAGAAAAGCAAATGTTCCAAAAACAATGCATGCTGATAAGATTTATTGTTGCTTTATGAGTACCAGACTATTTAGGAATCCAAACCAGAAATCTTGGTTTGGAAATTATAAAATAAGACTTCTTGATTATTTTTATCTACTTGCATGGAGGACTGAGGTAAGAAGCAAACAAGGTACTGTCTTACCAGACTATACATTTGCAGTGAACTAGGATAAATCAGATCATCTGGTTTATTATAAATATTATCAAAGTGGAACAGGAAACTAATTGACAAGGTTAAATGAATGCTGGAAAAAGGAAAATGGGATCGAATTCAACCTGACTGCATTTTGAATAAACTGTTAATAGTCACAAATGTATTATGAATTTATTATTCAAGTTAATGCACATTAAAATCTGAGTGCTGTCAGTATTTAATGATCCATACTTATACATGTGCCTCTTTCAAATTGTTACATATACTTATTCAATAGTAAAAAACCATACTAAAAATAGTTAAATATTTGCAATTTATTCATAACTCTAATGTAAACAATGGTGTGTTTTTTACTTCATTATCATTTTTTACTACTATACATTAAAAAAAAAACCTATAGGTAAATCCTCAACTTTCAACCATTCATTTAGCAACCATTTAAAGTTTATAATGCTGCTGAAAAAAGTGACTTGCAACCAGTACTTATATTTACAATGCAGCATTCCCATGGTCAAATTTTGTATTTTTGATGGCTGCAGCATCTCAGGGTCATATATATGGCAGCCACTTGTGATCTTCCCACTCAAACTTCCCACAAGCAAAGTCAACATGAGAAGGCAGATTTACTTAGCAACTGTGTGATTCATTTAACAACTGCAATGCTTCCCTTAACAACCATGGCAAAAAATTTGGCACCTCACTTAACAACTGTCTTTCTTAGCAACAGAAATTCTGGTCCCAATTGTGGTCATACGTTGAGGACTACCTGTATTGTAAAGGTCAAATTCTATTACATATAGCTCAAACATAATTATCTTTAGCATAGATTTTTAGAGCCTGCCCTTTTTTAAATAAAGCTTTGCCAGTGGTTATATGGTATCAATAGAGGAAAATATTTGTAATTCAGGGTTGAAATGGGGGGTCCTGGATGCTCTCTGAGCTTCTGGGTTTTCTTGCAGATGTTTCATTACCCAAATTAGGTATCATCATCGGTACCAATTAGGAGTGATATCCTTTATATTCTGGTGGCCCTGCCACATCAGTGTTGGTGGGAAAGATCTTAGCAGTTCTTTGGTTGAGTTATTTACTGTTGGCTTGTTTGGCCTTTCTTTGACTGGGATATTGATTGTTGTTATGATGTTAATCTTGGAGTTAAATCTATGCTCATCTGGATGCTGATTGCTGCTGGGGAAGTGTTTTGGTCTTTTTTGTTTGTTTGTTTGTTTGTTTGTTTGTTTGTTTGTTTGTCAGATTTATATGCTGCCCTTCTCCCGTAGGACTCGGGGCGGCTCACAGAAATAAAAACAACTCGACAATAGATAAAATTAGATAATGTTAAAACCAATTTAAAATCCCCAAATCCCCAAGTTAAAATCCACGGCAGATCAGGGAAATTGCTGATCAGGGAAGTTATGCAGCTATTGTTTATGTCAACGTGTCTATTGACATGGTTGTCCCAAAGGTGCTTTTTCAAGAGGCAACTGGACTTTCTTGTTTTTCTTTGAAGATGTTTCTCTTCTCATCCAGGGAGCTTCTTCAGCTCTGACTGGATGTTGGGGAATAGAAGGATATATATTCCTTGCAGATAGCTGATCGTTAGCATTCTTTTAGTGAATTGTTGAGGTCACTCGGAGGTTTGTCTGTGTCTTCAGAGTCACCTGAGTAATGCAAATGGGTGTGGAGCCTTCTTGGAACTGCTAAAAGTAGGGTGCTTCAGTTTGAGATGCAGACAACAGTCTCATTCCCAAAAGCCTGCGCCTGTGTTCAATAGTGATGAGACACAGGGCAGAAAACATCCTGCAGAAAGCACAGCTCCACAACACAGTCCTTTCAGCAGTTTCAAGAAGGCTCCACAGCCATTTGCACTACTCACGTGATCCTGAGAACACAGACAAATATAAATCCTTCCTGTCCCACCATCCAAGTTAGAGCTGAAGAAGCTTCCTGCATGAGAAGCGAAACGCCTTCAAAGAAAAACAAAAAAGTCCAGTTGCCTCTTGAAAAAGCACCTTTGGGACAACCATGACCTGGGTGACTGAGAATCTCTATAGATGTTGACATGATAATGATGATGTTACCTAGTACTGTGACAAAGCATCTGTAATAAAACAACCAAGCTCAGAAAGCAGCAAGTACCCACCCATCAGATGGTATTTCTGATATCCCATCCACTGAATATATAATAGCCACGCACCTTTTTTAAGCCAGCAAAGCCTTCTGACTCCAGAAAGAAGAAAGCAAAGGGCATCAATATAAACAAACAAAGATTAGAAAAGAGGGAAGCAATGTTCCATAAACCTAAACAAAACAAGAAAAGAAATATATCAATATATTGTTTCTCAAAGGCAGCAGAATTTTAAACATATCACAGAAAAAAATTACTTTTAATTTTTTTTCCTCTTGGTGATCTTTTAAGATATAAACAAAGCAATTTTAGATGGTCTTGAAAACATTTCTGGTTCTGTAAGCTGTATTTTTCTATGCAAAGTATTTGTCCACAAATTAAAATGCATTCTCAAATGCTGACCAGACATGCTTGGTGATTACTAGCTTTCATGATACGTTAGCAGCAGAATCACAGAATTTCTCCTGATATATTCACTGCTCTGAAGATTCTAGATATTAGAGCTCTGTATGCTTCATGTGGTGTTTCAAGGTGTTTCAAAATTGGTGCAAGTCTTTTCAGGTTTCTAAAAGCAAATGCAGCTATTTTAAGGAATCACATTAAAGACAAAGCAGCTGCCTCTTTTACATTCCCGTAATCACACTTCCAAATAATTTTTAAAGCATATTATATATCAGATTGAATGCCAAATGCAAATGTTAATCTTTTTATTAGCTACCAAACATTGCCTGAGTCTTCAAAAGTTACTACTGGTAGCACAACTGAGACATTTAAAGTTCTAAATAAGACTATGACACAAGCAGTTTAGGCAAAAACTATGCATGAAAAAAAATCCTTCAGAGAATATCCTGCATGAGTAACCTGTTTTATACTATGTCTGATACATTCATAAATACTGGACACAGATCTTTGAACCATCATAACAATCCTCTCTGAAAATAGTTATTTAATATCAAAAGAATGTGTAACACAATGATGGAAAAAAATGAGATAAGGGTTTCTGAACGTATTAGAGAAAAATATAAATCTGTCCAATGAGAAAACTACAGTGTATGGGATTTTATCAATAAACACAAAATTCCTTCCAGCTTCTGTCTGATGCAATATCGGATTAAAGTATTTATTATTAAGAAAAAGTGAAATTAAGCATTTCACCAGCTCTGATAAAGTCTCAACCTTGCCTACAATACTTTGAAGAATGAAAAGGTACATGTCCGTGGGCAATTTGTACTATATTCTATCTCCATCTGCTGGACACACATGAAATAGAAAAAGAAACATTAATATTTGGCAAATGGATTTTTAGAATTTCAGGGCTTTTTAATTACCCCCCCCTTTTTTTTCTGTCCTTTGTTTTGTATACTGAGATTTAAAGCTGAACCTATTTATGGTGTGAGGTCTTTCCATTTTGTCTTTACTTTAAAACAACACACATATTGGGTTTCAAAATGATTATATAGAAATGGCATGATCATTACAATATGATTTTGTTTAAATTCTATAAGTTCAAATGCACGTACACTAGGTTTAAACATTTCTTAAGATTTTGAAAACAATTCCAAGTAGAAGAATAGCTGTATCAGTAATTTCATGTAGGTTGTCAAACTCCTTTAAAAGTATCTTCAATGGGAATATAAGTAAGAAATAATTGCAAAACTAATGTCATAATGACTGAAGACCACCAGGGAAACATAAGCAGTCATACCTCAGAACTCGACTGCTTTAAAACTCATCAAATTTGTTACCCAAAACATTTGGATATGAAAATTTTGGTACCTGTTATTTGTTTGGTACTTGACACTCAAGCTAGAACTTGTTGGTATCAGCTGCCTCATTGACTTACTACCCTTTCCAGCCGAAACAAAGAGTCATGAATTAAGTCACATGGTTTGTTTGGTCCTCATCATGCCTCCGGGAACCAATTAATAGTGAGTACCATGGTACCCCTGTATTCAAACTTTACATAATGTTCACTTCCAGTATTTCAAGATGCTGACTATATTATTGGCTATTTAAAAAATTCACACACAATTTCCTGATACGGCTTCCAATTTCTATTAAAATAATCAGATCCCACACATCATTTATTAAATATCCTCCAGGTACCATAAGTTTCTAGTCCACTTTATTTCCACAACCATCTTCCATGCCTACCTAATTCTGATAAGAAGTATATACAGGTAGTCCTCAACTTACGACGACAATTGGGACCAGAATTAAGAAAGATGATTGTTAAATGAGTTGCCCCCAATTTTATAACTTTTTTTGCCACAGCTCTTAAGTGAATAATTGCAGTTATTAAGTGAATCGTGTTGTCATTAAGCAAATCTGGCTTTCCCCTGTTGATTTGCATATTGGAAGGCAGCTGAGAAGGTCACATATGGTGATCAAATGACCACAGAACCTTGCAACTCTCAGAAATGCATACTGGTACCACATGCCCAAATTTTGATCATGGGAGGAGGGTGCTGCAATGGTCATAAATGCAAGGACAGGTCATAAGTCACTTTTTCAGTGCCGCTATAACTTTAGATGGTTGTAAACTGAGGACTACCTATATGCTACCTTTAAAAGCAATCACAAGCTATAACGTATTACATATTCAAACAGTAATATTACATGACATTATACTAACCATGAATTAGAGACCCATTCAACCACTGGATATAGTAACTTTGTGGAAAAGAAAGCAGAATCTCATTGCTGATTATTGAAAAAGGTAAGAGGAGCACAGCACCCGCTGAAACTGCAAGAGTAAAAGTACTCAGGAAAAGCCTGAAACACAGAGAGGCAGTATTTTTAGTCTCTATGGAGCACTTTTAAAACCAACAGAAGTTTAAGCAAATATTTTATTTAAAAGCATGAGTAAACTACTATAGTAGAATAAATGCTGCATAATTTGCATTAATTGAAGAAATTTTTCTGCAAATATAATTGAACCTATGTTAAAAATAAAATCCTATGAAGCTAATAGCCTAGTAAATTTCTCTATGCTGGTTCACCATATAGTCATCTATATTTCACCTACAGATTTAAATTCTGTACTTAAAAAAATACGTACTCCACATACTAGGCCAGCTCAAGCAATATCTGTCCAGAGTAAATGGAAGCACTCCCTCTACTGGAGAAGACCAGAACTGAGCATATCAATCCCCCCAAAAGCAGATACATTATCTCAAACGTCAAGAACTGCAGCAGTTTATTCTGTAGGTAAATGGGTGCTAATCTTTTTCACATATCTATTCATCACTTTCTAACAGCTTTGTTCCCTCTGATAAACTTTTAAGATTTGTTTTTCTCACCACGTACATGTATACATCCGAACTAGACTGTGTTGTTTGTCTGTCATTGTGTGTCATAGAATATATATCAGTATGTGGGTATATGCATAATTTTTAATCTACTTTATTTATCTATCTATCTATCTATCTATCTATCTATCTATCTATCTATCTATCTATCTATCTAGTTTGTCATGTTTATGTAGTCAACATTCTCCTGGAATTGTAACTGTCTTCTGGAAAGACAACCAGAAGAATTGCAGGAACTTAAAGAACTGAATTTATGTCGCTTTGAAGTTACTGATTTTGCTCCAAGAGCTTGATAGGATTAAAATATAATGGTTTGTTTTGTATACAGGGGAGGAAACATCCAAGTGCATTTTCTAGAGTTATGCCCAAAACTCTTAAAATGTTTAAGAAGGATCTGTACAAGTACCGCATTTCATTTCAGATGCTTAGGCTTCTGTGTGAGAAGGAAAAAGGATTCAATTCTTTAAGGAATGAAAAGATCTTAACAAGTATCAGAAAGCTGTTTGATCAAAGAAGTCTGAGAACACTTCTTCTACTTACTCATTTTGAAAAACTTTTGAGAAAGAGAGAATATTTTCAACACTGATTTTTTTACTGCAAACTTTTGATACACAGCAGTTGCCAGAGAGTTCTTTCGTAATGGTTTCATGACTTTTCTACAATAAACATATATCTGAGAATCTGTGCTCTTGGAAATTTATTCTTGTTAGCTGAAAAATGCCTAATACTAGTACCACTGAAAATTGGGTTCCACAGTCTGGGGAAGGCTTCTGGAAAATGTATATTCATACTGAGTGAGAAAGGTAACAGATTTGCTTCCAATTCCAAAAAAAATGTCATCAAGCCAAAAGACTGATATTTTGAGACAGAGGGCAGGAGCTATTGCAGCTGCTTCAACCATAATTGCAGAAAATTGCTCAACCATAATTGATCAGAAAAGGTACAGAAGATGCCGGCTGTAATAGATTTTATTCTACCTGTTGGCCTAGTGCCATGATGGCGAACCTATGGCACGTGTGCCAGAAGTGGCACGCAGCATCCTCTCTGTGGGCATGCGAGCCATCGCCCCAGCTCAGTTCTACTACGCATGCGCACACGCCTCCTGCCAGCTAGCTGGTCTTTGGGTCTCTGCCGCACATTCTTGGGGGGGGGACACGCATGGGGCCATGTGCACATGTGTGGAGTGCATGCACGGGGGGCCGTGCGCACATTGCATTTTGGGGGTTCACGCACACGCACGCTTTGGACACTCAGTCCAGAAAAGGTTAACCATCACTAGCCTAGTAGATTCCATATCTGGCTGAGGGCTCCATTGGGTCAAGGTTCTAATACTGAGCAGGACATTGGTATCATAACTGACATTTAGCAGGTTGCAAAATATTTGTAGCTACAATGTAATCTTAGTATAGACGAAGGATCTCCTGCCATTAATAGTTAAGGGTGGGCAAATCCAGAGATCATACTTCATCCTAGACCCAGATGTAAATTACAGCACTTTGTGAATATTCAAGCTACAAAGGCTCACAATGGTTAGATAATGCATGTACCTTTCTTACAGCCAGGAAGGGTGTCATATATAGGCAAAAAATGGCATGCAGCACCATACAGAAATCAGACCCTATATAAAGTTTTAAATTCTAAAAAAAAAAATTTCTGGATTTCCTTCCTGAATCAATAGATACTTGGCCACTTCTTTGATCACCTTGGAAGGAACTTGATCTACATTGCCATAACCTGGGAAGAGCTGACTCCCTTGTCAGTTTATTTATTTTAAAGAAATTAAGGTCGGGAATGTTTGAAGGAATATTTTAGAGATTTATACAGGAATGATAGTAATATCTCATGGGATGGAACTGAATTAAATGCCATGTTAGCATTCAGCAAAATACTGGATGTCGTTGTTAAAAAATAAGGTTGCAATTCAGATCACGTACAGAAACTATTAATGGGGTTTGCTTATGGAATGATTGTGTACATTTAATATATATGTAAATACTATATTGTGCCTGATAATATAAAGAATACTGTTCTATTTCCCTATACAATGGGAAAGGAACAACACCGAATGCAGAAATTACAAAGGGGTTCATTTAATGTGCGCTTGGGTGGTGTGTTTCACAGAATTATGATCAAAAGGGTGAAAAGGGTAACAATAAGCAAAACTTGGAAAGCTCGGTGTTCATTTTCCACTAAAAATCAAACTGTTATATTGGATATCAGAGGAATTGAGGATTGCCATTGGTTTATTAAGGACAAAAACCAGAGCAAATAGGTAATTTAGTGTACCTTGGTAGAATGTTTATTAAAGACAGGATGACAGATGGACAAACGTTAAGACAGTGCAAAGGTTGGCAGATAAGTAGTGGACAGTGCATTGGTGGTTGCAAAGAATGAATACTTGTTGGAAAAAATGGTTGTATATAGGACCATGCCTATATCCTGCCCCCTTTTACTACATGGAAGTGAGAACTGTGCTTTTCAGGAGAAACATAAAATCAACTAAATAATGCAGTGGGAACTGAGTAGTTAAATCTGTGTTAACACACGTTGATAAAGGGTTGAAATTATTAGGTGCTGACTGAATGTGAGGTGAATACAAAAATGAGGGGCCAAGGCAAAAGAAATACATTGAAGTGGTGTGGTCAAATAGAGAGAACGAATGTGGATCAGATTGCAAAACAAATGCATAAAAGAAGAATCAATGAGTGAAGAGGAAGGGGAAGCTTGAGAAAGTTATGGTTGAAGAGAGCTGGTGAAAGAGAAGTTTGAAGGACAAAAGACCATATCTGAAGGAGTATGTCGATGTGGTGGAAGGGAGGACAGTTCGAAAGAACAGAAAGATATGGAGGACGTACTAACTAGTTTGGGCGGACATATGTTTTAACCTTTTCTTACACCTTTAATTCTTTAGCTTACTATCTCTTACTCATTTTCTGTGCTCTGTATAACATCCTTACCTGAAAGGGAATAGATGATAAATATTGATTGGTTGATTGATTGATTGATTGATTAAATTTATTGGTCACCTAGTTTACTCACAGGGTAGTGATAATTAAGACATTTCATAGATGTTTCAGATCAAGAAATAATGGAATTCAGAAAATAAAAACACCTCAGTTATTAAATATTCCATTATCAAAAACTGATTATAAGAAAGAAGTAGATTTTTTAAATTTCCACATGTGTTTTAAGTTTGGGGTTTAGGATAATAACAAAATTTGAATGATTAGTCACATAAAAAGGGGGGAAAGGTCAGTTCTCATAATAGGCAGGAAAATATGTACCTTGTTCAGAAAGAGAAATTGTATCATAGATTCAGCTTTACAGAAAAACTACTTGTACTTGTAATGAAAGGTAATGACCATGACAAATAGCTGTCAGAAATGGCAAGGAAGTTACTATTTTCACTAACTTGCTAATAGTTTTGAGTTATAACATTTTGTTCAGTCTAAAGTTTGCATAAAGCAATTAAACCAATACTGTCATTTTTATAAAACAAGAAAAAAGCTTAAACTATGGATCTCATGTTATATTTTTGATGCTGTATATTACCAAATTAAGTTTCACATTTTCAGAAAGGTATAAAACCAATATAAATTAGTGTTTTTGCTATAGCTAGCATATAAAAGCTGGCAAATTTAAATACATATCAGAATCATAACCATACTGTAGTTCAAGCAAATCTTCCAAAAGGCAATGTTTGTTGCCCATTAATAATCCAATAGAATAATGTATGATCATATTACACTTAACTAAATAGCCATTTGTACACGTTTCTCACATTCTGATAGAAGGGATTACCCCATGCAAACAGCAGGGAAATAATTGCAGGCCTAAGGTCTTAACCCAGAGGGTTATTTTGACACATATAGCAACATAATGCCAGTCATTATGTTGGGATAATGCCAGTTATTTCTAAAGAATAGGAAGTACAATTCTTTATCCAATCAACAAAAAACAGTTTGTACAAAAATGCAATTTAACTTAGGGTTTTAAAAAAATAATTAAAAATAAATAACTAAATATTATAATCTACACATTACTGATTTAGTTTAAAAAAATTTAAAAAACTAAACACCATCATCTATGTATTACATTATTTATGATGTACATGCAATTTCCAAATAAATCTGCAAAATTCAGTCTATTTGTAAAAAAAAAAAAAAATCCATCAAACCTTGGATATAGACCATAGAGAATATGGACCAAAGTGAATTTTCACTTAGGGCTGAATATGTCTCCAAAAGACAAGACTGGCATCTGATGAACTTTCACTATTTTGTATATATATATTTATTTATTTCAGTTTATTTCATGCCCTATTTTAATAGTTGCATTTATTTTTCTTTTAACTATTACATAATTTTGATTGGAACTGTTATCTACCTTCATTAATGTATAAGCACGAAAATGATAGATAAAATACTGTTACATAAGAATCAATAAATGGCTAATAATTTTAGAAGTGCATTCCATATTCTAAGCCTTTTGACTTTCTAAGAAGATAGTCTGCATCAACTGAGAACTCACTCATTAAAACTTTTGTACCCAAGTCACATTGTTTTCAAAAGAGTTGCCTTAAATAAAACTAAATCTGGAGGGAGCAAGCTATCTTCACATGTGCTCCTCATATACCTATTTTGTTCACACATAAATGTGAGCAAAATAGAGTGGTATGGTGGCCTAGAGGTGGAGCTCTTGCCTCACGATCAGGAGGCTGTGAGTTTGATCCTAGGTAAAGGCAGATGTTTCTTCTCTCTAATAAAGTATTATACTCTATTTAGAAATGCTTTCCAAACAATATAAGAATTGAGCCATAAACAGGGAAATTCTTGAGTTGCTATATTTGCTAGTTTTGAAATCTACTGAGAAAGTAGATATACATACGAAATTCTATTGACAATAGCATCTTCATCCTCTTGCTCATCTGAAAAAAAAATGCACATTTTAGATTACATTGGTATCATGGCCATTGTTAAGCGTTTTACTTCTTGTCTAATAGCAATTGGCAAAGAGAATATGTAGCATGATCAAAATTTAAAATGTATTTATCTTTCTTTCTAATATTTGGCTCTTCTTTCACAAATTTCAAAGTTATGATAGTTTGCAGGGATGGAGGGTTGGGTTACTGTTATCTTTCAAAAAGCTCTGCAGTCTTCACTAACATGTTCCACCAATGTTTGCATTAAAATGTTCTTTGCTAAAAAGCTTAGAAATGGAATTGCAAGCTGCTTAGCCTTAAGTACTTGAGAATTACTTAGATGTCCTTGGACAATCATATAATATTGCATAATACTCTTATCATACAGTAGAGTAAATTAAAAGATACTATTATCAGGCCTTAGAAATGTTCATCACTACAGAGCAACAATTCAATGCAGATTAGATGCACTAAAATAAGAATGGCAATGCATGTTTTAATTCACATCCAACTGAAAGAATAGGCAGATAATGCTCAAATACATCCTGATTTATTCTCACTGATTTTAATTCATAAATTTGAAACATTCAATATTCAATTGTCACTATTCAAAATCTTGCATCTGGTTTGCAAATCTTATATACCCGTGTGGAGGAAAACATATATGCTGTGATGACACTTAGACAATAAAGCACGCCTCTAATACAATGAAAAAGCATAATTACATTTAGATACTCATGAATAGAATTTAATATTAAATTCTTTAAAATATATTGATTTATTAGCTATTTTGAATTCTTATTTTACTAGTGGTATGACATTCACTCAACTATTCATGAATATAAGCAAAGCACTTGGAAGTAATTTGGTAGCTAGATGGCGGTATAACACAAAAATCTTGGTTTTCTTTTGAACAGACAGTGGCCAGGGAAAACTCTCCATTTAACAAATCAAAGAAGATATCAGTTAAAATTACGTCCTATAAGTTGGTTTTGGGACATTGTTATTTTATATCATGTAACTGTCCTACAGAGTTCAAAAGGAACATTTCTGGACTGGTCATGGGGAGGTCCAGATCTTAAGAAATCATTGATTAGGATGCTTTCCTGATTAACTTGAATTTCTTTCATAGACTACTCATTCAATAGAATAAAAAAAAAAAAAACCCTCACTTTAGTGACCAGAAAGAGAAAACTATTTTATTCCTTAAAATGTATTAATACTGTATCTATAAGATAATCAATTGCAAACAACCATAAAATCAAGCTACCTAAAGTATTAATTTGGTAACCCAGCTCGTTTATCAGATGCAAAGTCTTTCCAGCTAAAAGAATTTTGCATCTAAAAATAGTCTTTGTTATGCACATTTTAACCTCCAATGCAAGATTATTCCTACAAGGGACTCTTAAGCAGTCAGCTCAAGTGTAAGGGACATGCAGACAGAAAGCTGGAATAGTTCTTCTTTTCATACTACATAGCATCAAAGAGCATGTAGCCATGGATAGCTAGTAATGTGGCTTCACAAGATTGTAATAAAAATATATAAAAAAATAAAGGAACATTATTCCCCTGCCAACAATACTGAATAACTCAGGCCATGACCATCAAACATCAAAAACATCTGCCAGGCTATCCCACCTCCTTTGCATGGACGATCTGAAGCTGTATAGAAAAACATCATCTGAAATAGAATCACTGCTCAGCACTGTCCATGTATATAGCCAAGATATTGGAATGGAATTTGGACCGACAAATGAGATGCTTGCCATCAAATGGGGGAAAACAAGTGAAAACTGAAGGAATCAAGATGGAAATAACATCAAGAGTTTGGGTGAAGATGATCATCACAAACATCTTTTAAGCTGACAACATCAAGCAACTGAAGTCAAGAGAGTGAAGAAGATCCAATTCAGTGGAGAAATACCATCAAGGCAATTAAATATATAATTTCGGGCAATTTCAGTCATTAGATACACAGCTGGAATAGTGGACTGGACTCAAGTAGAACTAAAAGCCCTAGATAGGAAGAGTAGAAAAATAATGACAATGAATCATGTCCTGCATTCTCAGAGCAACATTAAAAAAATCTAGGAAAATAGGTGGGCATGGAATGTTGCAAGTATATTCAGATGGTTGAAGAAGAAAAAGGGGCATTAGAAGAATATCTGATGGACAGTGGAAAAGATGCACTGATGCTAGTAGACCAGGAAGGCTTACTGAATACTGGAAATGGCCTACAAGAAGGATTAAATGAAGGATAGGAAAGAGGCATGGGAAGATAAAATACTACAGGAATGTCAAACTCAAGGCCTGGGGGCCAGATCCAGCCCGTGGGGTGCTTAGATCTGGCCCGTGGGCCACCCTGGAAACAGCAAAGGACCAGTCCACAGTGCCTCTGCCAGTGAAAATGGAGCTCGGGAGGGCTGCTCCGTTTTCACTGGCAGAGGGTTGCAGGCGGCCATTGCAGTTGAAAACAGAGCTCGCAAGGGCAGCACACAGCCCTCCCAGGCTCTGTTTTCACTGGCAGAGGGTTGCAGGAGGCCATCGTAGCCTGAAACGGAGCTCGGGAGCCCATTTTCGCTGGCAGAGTGCTTGGGCTGCCACAGGCACCCCGACATGAATGACATCAAGCGGGCCACACCCCCTGGCCATGCCTCCCCAGGGGCCCCAAGGTCAAACACAATCCTGTTGTGGCCCTCAATGAAATCGAATTTGACACCCCTGAAGAATTACATGGCTAGTATATTTAAAAAAATAACAGGTAGAGCAGATAATAACAAGACTTGGCAATGGCTAAAAGGAGGAAAGTTACAGAAAGTGACAGAGGGGCTAATTCTGGTTGCACAAAACCACTCTTAGAAACAAATGCATAGAAAGCAATAATTGAGAAGACAGCAAAAGATAGCAAGTGTCACCTCTGCCAAGAAGTTGAAGAAATTGTGAACTACCTGTTTATGTGATGCAAGAAGTTTGCACAAGACTGTCTACAAACAATATGACAAAACAGCAACAATGATGCATTGGAAGAACTGAAAGAAATACAATTTGCCTGCAAGCAAGGACTGGTGGGACCATAAATAGAGAAAGTAATAGAAAACGAGGAAGCTAAATTACTCTGGGGCTTTAGAATTCAAAAATACAGGCATTTGTCACACAACGCACTAGACTTGTCAATAACAAAGACAAAAAAGTCTGGATAGTGGATGTGGCAGTTCTTGGAAACAGCAGAATAGAAGAGAAAGAAGTGAAGAAGATAATTAAATACAAAAACCCGCAAATAGAAATTGAAACACTGTGGCAAAAGAAAGCGAATGTAGAAACAACAATAGTAGGCATTTGGGGTGCAATTCAAATACAACTGGAGCACCACTTGAACCCCATCAGTATTGATAAATTCACCATCAAAGACAGCTTTATTTGGAACAGCTTACATTCTGCGATGATACCTCTAATGCCATAAAACATCAACCTCTGCCTACCCCAGGTCATTGAGGACGTAATAGGTGGATAAAAATGCCAAATCCAGTCTACGCATCTGGCTGGCTGTGCGATTAACTTATAGATTTTATATCTGGCCCAAAACAATTCCTCTTCACTCAATGAGGCTCAAGCAAGCCAAAGTTTTCCCCCAATGGAGAAAACTAACTTAATTTTAGGAGATTAAGGGGTTTTTATTAAAAGGTAAACTGGATAATTTAAGCACAAGTTATACATGTAGCAAGCTAATGAAAAGAGTTTGAAGAATGCAGCCAGAAGACATTAGAACCACAGGTCCAGAAGAAGCATGCATTAAGCCTAGGGCAGAAGAAAGTACAAAAGAGACTCAGACTGACCCACTCTAACTCCCTGGGTGGAACAGGAAGGGAAGAGAAAACACAGATAAACTTACAAGATTCTATTTCTATAGCTTTTATCAATAAAGTATGGTTCTAGTATTCCTATGGAGTCAGTTTCCTGTTCTACTCATAAGACTGACAACAAGGACTTCTTAAACTCCTCGAACACTGAACAGATTGTTTGATTTCACCCAGCCACAGTAGGGTGCTAACAGAGTTATACACAATTTGTCAATGGTAAGCTTACATGCAAAAAGGCTTTGTAGTTTAAATGGGCAGTGGCTATCCTAGTTCAAATTTCCAATATGGCAGTCCTTGAAAGTTACAACTGACCCATAAAGGGAACTTATAACCCAGATTTAAAGTTCTGATGGTTGGGCCTCCTTCGCAGTCATGTGACTTAATTTTGGGCCCTTGGCAATATGGCCACATTTAGGGCCATTTGCAGCATCCCTTGGCCACGTGATTGTGTTCCATGATAATTTTGCCAAAACCTAGCACTTCTGGTTTTCAGGAAAATCACACCCATAGCGAACCATTGGTTCATTTAACAAACACTACAAAAAAGTCATAAAATTGATCATGACCAATTTACCACTGTTACAATATACAATCATAATGGGTAGGTTCCATTATGGCCATTATGTAGAGAACATAATGGAAAATGGAAATACTGCAGTATCTCCTGCAAAGTTTTTTTGCTTCCACTTTTTCTCTTAATGCTATAAAAAAGTATACAGAATTTGTCCCCCATAACAGACAGGAATTTGTATGTTAATAGGAAGTTTCAGGAACAGTGACTTCTTGATGGTGAGATAAAAGTCTTAATAACTTATAAATGACACTTAAGTCATGTCTAAAGTTATAACTTAAACTAAAATATATAAATGAAATATGTAAGATAAAAGATACAAATGAATTACTTAAGAAAAACAGATCACCTCTAACTCTATTTGGATATATGCAAGCAGGATATAAACACAACAGCAATTCCCTAGTGTGGTTTCCCAGCAAATATATTTTAGGAAACATATTTTTTTTAAAAAGAAGTTAATAAACTGAAAGGGCTCATAATGAAATAAATGCAAATTGGAAAAAGATAAGAAAATTGTGATGCAATTTGTTTGGTAAAGCTCTCGGTTACAGATTCAATTATAGTAAAATACTTATTCCATAAATAGATATGTATGCTTTACAGAACACTTTCCATCTTATTATAATTTATTATAGAAAATATATGAATATGAAACCAGTTACCTGCTTTCCTCTTGTATCTTCTAATAATGAAGTAGGAAACAATATACAATATCGCAAACAAAAGAAAACAGATCTGAAAAAGAAAGTTTCACAGTTGAAGCAACAATTTCTGAAAATAATAGAATGGAACAAATTTTAAAACAAAAATGCCTTTATAAAATAAAGGTAGTCCTCAACTTATGACCACAATTGAGGCCAGAATTTATGTTGCTAAGTGAGACATTTGTTACATGAATTTTACCCCATTACCTTTCTTGCGATGGTTGTCAAATGAACTACTGTAGTTAAGTTAGGAACATGGTTGTTAAGTGAAACTGGCTTTCCCATTGACTTTACTTGTCAGGTTAAAAAAAAGTGATCTCATTACCCCAGGACACTGCAACCATCATAAATATGTGACAATTTCCAAGAGTCTGAAGTTTGATCATATGGACATTGGGATGCTGCAATGGTCTTAAGTATGAAAAATGGTCATAAGTCACTTTTGTAATTGTAATTGTAACTTAGAACAATCACTTAATGAACTGTTGTAAGTCAAGGACTATCTGTACAATAAAGCTAGAATTAGCTTATCTAGTTGTATTTCCTGTCTGGTCTACCTGATTAAAGTGACAGATTTAACATTCTGCAGAAAGGACTTGGCTGTATATACAAATATGACCTCTACGTCTAGCATCATTTCATCATAGGAAAAAATGAAGTATCATTCCATCTTGGGAATTTTTAAGGCACAATGAAAGGTATTCCTTCACATTTTTTCTATATAATAAACACTTGCCAGAAATCAACATAAATCACAACTCTACATTACTAATATAAAATAATGCAACAAATCAAAGGATCTATATGTAATGTAACAACATTTCTATTTAAGAATAGAGAAATAGACATTGGCAGGGTTACAAGGTCTGTTACAAAATTCAAGAGAATGCAATAAAGAGATGTAAATAACAATAACCTTTTGGCCACCCTAGTAGTCATCCACATTTTTACACCTTACATCTGTAAACCTTAGATAGCAAAAGAATACAATGGAAGCCATTTATATTTTATTTAGAGTGGAGTGGAGTGGAGTGGAGTGGAGTGGAGTGGAGTGGAGTGGAGTGGAATGGAATGGAATGGAATGGAATGGAGTGGAATGGAATGGAATGGAATGGAATGGAATGGAATGGAATAGAATAGAATAGAATAGAATAGAATAGAATAGAACAAAATAGAATAGAACAAAATAGAATAGAACAAAATAGAATAGAACAAAATAGAATAGAACAAAATAGAAACTTTATTGGCCAAGTGTGATTGGACACACAAGGAATTTGTCTTTGGTGTATATGCTCTCAGTGTACATAAGGAGAATAAAATACATTCACCGAGAATAAAAAGATACACCCCTTAGTGATAGTCAAGGTTACTAATAAGCTATCAAATTGTACTAGGAAACAAACAAAAATAATATAAATTGAAAGATACAAGCAACACGGTTATAGTACTAAGTGGGTGCTAGTAAGGAAGAGAAGAATAATATTAATACAGTCTTAGCAAATTATTAATTTATCTAAGTAGCCTACACCACTTAGATACCAATGGTCACACTTGTGTATGATCTCTGAAAGGGCCAGAGGTAGAGTATTGAAACTATGCTGGTCCTTATTGATTTCTCAGCTGCACTCAGTATCATCAAACATGGAGTTGGGACATGATGTTGCAATGCTTCTTCTGGTATTTCTGTAGTTCAGTTCCACTCAATATTAATAGTGGAAAGAGAATCTAAGATTGTTGCTACTCAACATTTCCATGAAGTCATTCATCAACATAGAATCTAGTATCATCTAATGCTGATGACACCCAGTTAAACAACTTAACCTCAAACTGGCAAATGATGCTGTAGAGGCCCTGTCATATTGCTAGGAGGCTGGCAGGGGAGGGTCTGAAATTTGAGTGGCTATAGATGAAATTCCAAGGAACTTTCAGCTTAGCCTTGGACGGGATAGCACCCTTCCAGATAGGATGTTCAGTTTGGAGAAACAGGTCTGAAGAGGGACAGGTGTCAATCAAGCCAAAAGAATCTTTACCCACATTTACGTTATGAGACAATGCTACCAATTCTTGGTTTAACTACTGATATTTTAATCATCTCACTCTTAAACTACTGCAATGCACTTTACATGGGAGCGCATGTAAAGAAGCTACAAGCAATCGGAAAGCACAACCTGTTATAGGTGCATCTCAGTACAACCAGGTAACACCAAAGACAGACTTCAATGGTTTAAATTCTGGGTGTGATTTTTTTTACTGGACTCTTCCATTTTACATACATTCCTTTTTCAATGTGAACATTTAATGTTATTACTGTAAAAGTGGAGGGTTTTTTTTCATTAATGCTTTCCATGCTGGTTGAGAATTAGTTTCAGTTTCAGAACTACTGAATAGTTATCAGAAGGGTTATCCTCTATATTCTAGCTTTCACACGGGAATGCTTAAGGCAACTTGATATGATAAGACATAGTTATTTTTAAATGCACTGGCTTTCACTGCTGAAATAGACCATCTGTTTCCTGAATAACTTAATATCTGATATATAAAAACTAGCTCTCTATTTGAATTGTATAATTCCATTAAAAGAGGTATGAGATGCTTCTCTAGATATACATTTCTATGTACTTCATTACATGCTTTGCAGACAAGAACATGTTGTTTAATATTAACCCATATTTTAAGTTGGACTGACTCATCCATCATGCAGACAAGGTCTGGGTGAGGCAGCTTATATGAATCTAAACAAAGAAGATATGATGACAAATAACATGAGATATATTCAAAATGTACATATTTGCCTTTTTATTGATTCTTAATTTGATATTCTTAGCAATTTAAATGCCACCGTTGCTACCTAGTTTATATGGTTTTTTAATTTTGTATTTTATTTTATAATATATGCTTTTATTAAAAAAATATGCCTATATTCAGATTGTATTTTTAAATGTATTTTATTGTAAATCATCCAGAGAGCTCCAGTATTAGGCAGTTTAAATGTTTTAATAATAAAGCTGGATTTGCTGTAGCATTACATTCACTAATGTAATGTATGTACATACATAATAGGAGCCCTGACTGTACTTGGGAATTCATTTAAAAATTGTCATAAAAGTGGCTTAACTAGTTTTGATCCCATTGTTATAGTACGTAATAGTGTACTGCAATGTAATAAACTATAGTTATAACAAAAGTAATTCTACAATAGCAAAAAACAAATTGCATACTAATTGGATTTATACATCATCTTAAGCCATAATGTACTTTGCTTAGTTTCTGCTTAGCATATCATTTGCTTCTCACTCTTAATGTTTGTAAACCAAATTGTGCAAACCCAGGCAGGGCTGGAGTATCCACAATTAGACATTCCTACTGTAATGTGCTTAGAAGACAGTGATAGTAATTAGTTCCATCTCTGTTCACTCTATTCCAGGCCAGTTTAAAAGTTTAAAAGTTTGCAGGAAGTCCAATGCCTAACACTTCATTTATTTAGAAGAAAGATTTGCTAAATTCAAGAAAGGGAAGGATAGAAAAATGTTATCTGGATCCTATTTGGACCCATGGAATATATTACTGTTAGGGAAGAGAGCTGAGAAGACTCAAAGGAAATTTTTCTTCCATTTCGAAGTAAAGAGCAATCTCAGTCCAACATATATTTCAGAAATAACTATTCAAACTAAAGGGTTTGAGTTGGAGGTTAGATGCCAAGCTGCACATTAACTCGATACCCTTTGCTGCAGTTATTGATTTGTCTACATCTGCATGTAGACTCAACAAAGGCTACAACCTTCCTCTAAAAACTCTAAAACCTACCACTCTTTCAGCATCATTACATATGACCGGTTTTCTGCTACCTAAACAGGAAGCCTATTCTAGACACAAATAGGAAATAAACCCATTTGTCTCTTTACCACTGGCCCTATTGCCAGAGACATGAGGAAAGTATGAAGTCTGTCTTCCTGTTTATCGAGCTATTTTGAAACATACTCTATTATTAATAAAAGTCTTATATCGAATCAAGGTCATCTATTGGGAAGCATTTATAAATTGCTATTGAGATATGAACAGAGATGGAACATATTAAAAACTAGATGATAAATTGAATGCAAAATTTTAAAAAAGTAATTACAGTGGAATAATGGGAAAAGTTATGGAAGAAAATCAAAATTCACTCAAAAGATATAATCTGATATAAAATATTTTACAGATGATATGTAAGTCCACCAATTATTACCATTATTACATGGACAAATCATGTACCAATAAATGTTGAAAATGCCCCAATAAAAAGGAACATTTTATCACATTCAGTCATTCAAAAAGTCAGTCATACCCTAGTCACCACCTGATTACTGTAATGCACTCCACATGGGAGTGCCCTTGAAGAATATTTGGAAACTTCACCTAGTATAAAATGCAGTGGCATGGGCAGTTATGGTCCTAGAACAGAATATGTTACATCTCTACTCCAAGAGCTGCATTGATTGCCAGTTTGCTTCCGAGTAAAATTCAAGGTGCCAGTTTTGACCCTTAAAACTCTTCATGACATAAAACCAGGTTATTTGAGGGACCACCTTATCCCAGCTACATCTACTCATCCCACCATATCTGGCATGAGAGGCATGCTGCGGGTCATGGTAAATATGTGATGGGCCCAAGGAGCAGACCTTCTCTGGCATGGTACCCACCTTATGGAACATTATCCCTCCTGAAGTGTTATCTTCTCTGTTCCTACTCGTTTTCTAGAAGTCCCTCAAGACCTGTCTATGGCATCAGGCCTGGAAATCTTGAGGTGGTTCCTTTGCTGGTCTAATCTCTTGTATGCTTTTATTTCAACACGATTGTTTTTGACATGTTTTACTTTTTGTTATACACTCCCCTAGATTCACTTGTGAGATGGGTGGCCATATGAATTTAATCAATAAATCTATTAGAAGGAAATACATTATAGTATTCATAAAATTTTAAAAATAAAAACTGAACTGGAACCACGAATATTGAGAATAATTCTAGAAGGTATAAATGAAAAGTATTACTGCT